GGCTCAAAGAGCATTTGCAACATGATGAAGCTCTCATATAGAGCAAGGTCCACAAACAACCTCCACAGGCACTTGAGAACACGGCGACTATGCATTGTAGACACATCAGTCCCCTCAGAAAGGATCTTTTCTAAAACAGGGCAGATAATAACAGAGAGAAGAAACCAGATCAACCCCTCTAAGCTGAGGCACTTGGTCTTCCTCAATGCCAATCTGCCCTGAAAAGAAAAAGAAAAGGTTACAGTTTGATAGTTGACGGTGGTAGGTTCATTAGAGACTGTTTGATAGGCTACTACTGTTTTGCACATTACAATACATTTATTTTTATTATGTTTTTTGTATGATAGAGACTGTTATTTGCTGCTGTTTTGAGCATTGCAATATTTATTTTCATTATGTTATTTATTTAAGATTATTTTTATTTTTTAAGATTCTACGTCAGCTGTTGCTGTATTTTGACATAGACATAGAGCCCTGATGTTTTGTTAGGGCTTTTTGTTTAAATACAAATGTAAAATATACAAAAATAGGGTAGCCGTCCTTTTTTAAATGTCTATGCTTAAGTTGTTATTGGTGTTGCTATCTGCTTTGTGTTGCGTGGTTCTACAAGCAAGTCAGTGCATTCATTGGGTGGTATCAGAGAGTTCAGGGTCTGTAAATGCAATGAAAACATTTGGCCACAGCAAATCATTTATATTAAAAATGTAATAATTTTAACTTTTGAATACTTCAGTACAAAGGATGTATTGAATCATTTAAGTGCAATAATGCGCCTTCTCCTTGTTTTCCCAGCATTCACTGGATTATCCGTAAATCATACAAACAAAACCAAAACGTTGATTTATCTGTTTAAAAACTGAATAACGTCAGGTTTTCCGAAAAACCAAAAAACGACACCGGTTCTTTTTTAAACATTAATATGTTTTGGATGCATATTGTTCTAGTATTTGTTCAGGCTGTTACATAGGCTACAATTAGCCTCACTTGCTACCTGCTGGTGGTGAGTAAATATTAAAATCAGTTCAAATTGACAACCGGTCCGCGATTTTGTTTTAATGTATCTGCCGGTCCTTGGCACAATAAAGGTTGGGAACCCCTGGTCTAGAGCGCATGTAAGATTCAAACAGTTAAGGCCGTACATTCAAAATAAGCATATATTTGTATCGGTATTCAGATCTTCTTGTTTATTTATCCATTCACTGTGTTGCTGTCTTAAATGCAAGTTCAAATATAATTACCAAAGCAATCAACGGTCTGGTCACTCGTAAGGCCACAGGTTGAATGGAGTCAGTCAGTGAGAAAGGCCAAGAACTGAGAAGGGAAAGTGTATATCATTAGTGTGTTAGTTTTTGAGGTTGTATGCTTTAAATAAATAGCTAAATGTGGCTTTTTTCACTCAAGAGGAATTGATTTCTAAACATGTCAAATTTATTTTATTTGCAAACAAATTAATACGTAGCAGAATCATAAGGCAAACTGTCAGGTAACTGGTAGGTCAAAGATATTATCAATTGAAATGAAGAATTGGCCAAACCCTGTCTCTAAGTGCAGATAATGATATATTCCAAACACTCACTGCTGTCCTATAGGGCTGGCTTCACTGTTTCAGGTCAACAGAAATGACTAGCAAAAACAGAAAGGAAGGCTAAAGATAGAACTTGCAGGAACAACACTACATTTGTTCAGCTATTCATACTTTTTGCTCACATTGCATCAACCAATTTCCACAGAGAAATGATAACTGTCGCCTCAGTGACATTAGTCAAACATTAGGCAGATCCTGATGGCACTAACCTGAACTTCAGCAGGCCAGCGCGGCCGTTGGTGGTCTCCTCTTCGGGGAACAGGAGCAGCGGGGAGGTGCCCTCAGTGGAGCAGTACCTCTGGAGAGTGTCTCCTATGGCTCCCTGGCCAGATGCTGAATGGATCTCCATGAAGCCTCTGGCCCAGCACACAAAGCCGGTGGAGCCCTCTAACTGGGGCTAAAGGCGCAGAAAGAGACAGAGCATCTCACCAACATTTCATTCAGCAGAAACAATACCAGCACTGGTTAAACCAAAAATAATGCCAACGTTGCATCAGCGCTGAAACTCACAGGTGCACACTTGTACAGGAAACTGAGACATGGTTTAGCCCATCTAAAAGACAAACACTCACGGTATGGCAGGGGGTCAGAAGGTTGATTATGTTGTGGTCGAACTCTGTCACATGGTTGCATATGTACAGCTTGGTGTTTTTGTCCCTGGAGCGAGGGTTCTTCGTTCTCACGTGCATCCCCAGGACTGAGCACATAATCCTGACAATAAATCTAAGAGAACAAAAGGAATAAAGCTGAAGTTAATCGGGATGATTATCTTAATATGTAGTGGGCAATTATCTAGAACATACATGGTGTATCACTGCTTTATGGCTCTTCATTCCCACAATCATTACCTTTAACTTAACATTGAAGTGACTGAAAGCCAAATACCATCTGAAATGTAAGAGTTATCAACACTAACAAATAGAGTGCAACTAGCACTTAAGCCTTTGCAGTTTTGTATGGGGTGGCTGTGATTAATAGCGTCATTTTAACTGAGGCAGCCATTACGCAATTATTTAAATTAATTACAAAGTATGCATTATATAGCGTATGATAACATAAACTGTTCCCACTTCCTCATATTAAGACATGGATACACACTCTTATATTATTAAAAGATTACTCTTAATGATACACAAACAGTAACTACAACAGCATTGTCAACACTGTTGAGGGTAAAATGGACCATAGAGAAATGTACACTGTATAATGTTAAATACTTGCCTTCTAATAAAACTCTCTGGAAGTGCACAGCTGACCAAGAACACGTGAACACCAACAAAAATCCGTATTAGCATCAAACAGATACCAACTGGAAAGTAAATCAGCAACAGTAGGAGGACTAGAGCATCTTTGGGAAACCTGTCAAAGGAAAAGTTGCAAAACATGTTTTAATTCAGTGGAGAGAACTTGAACTTAAATGTTATAGCAGATGAAATATTTACAGTCTACATGAATTACAATAGGTCTTACATGATGACTGAGCACGCATCTCAGATTTAGTATGTTAATTATTCACTGCTGGATCAATTATTGTTTGAAACTTGATTTTCCATGTTGTATTACAGCCCGTAGCGTTCATTTCCCACACGTTATTACACGTGTCGCTACTTGATTGTCTTTAAGGTTGGGTGCTTTAGAACACTCGGGATGTTTTATATCAAAGTAGTCCTATTCTGGCCTAAAATCCCACACACAAATGTGCACTGGTGCACCTACAGGCCCCATGTCCCACCTGCATTGATGTGAAAGATACTTGTATTGGTGTGTAGTACATATTGGCCAAGCACAAAATATACTTTTCAAATCGGAGGTGACGGGTAATGGCCATGGTACTCTATGTAGAGGTTCAACATTAGCTCATTCTACTGTGCACGCTTTAGACGTTCAGGAAACTTAGCTCTGTTCTTTAAGAGTCATTTTACGAAGTCAACTTTAACCACCGTGTAAGGCCAAGCTAGCTTCCCTTACACGGCTCGTTTAACGCTACAGTGAATGGCTGGGCGACATGTTTACTGAGATGAGTATTGCACAAGGTTGCATAACAAAAGTTAGCAATAAAACGTTAACGTCACCATACCACAGCTATGATAGCTAGCTGGCTCAAGTTAATACAATACTAAATAGCCTCTCGTTTGGACTGAGAAGCCTTCCGCAATGTGTGTTAATGCTAGCGGACAAACATTACACGTCACTGCAGATAACGTTACTATATATTTTTTTAACACACTGGATACGACCGTAACATCCATGCTAATGCGGCTAATTAGCGTTAGCTGAAGGTGAACAACAGCTTGCATTAGCTAGCTGCAGTTAGCTGACTTACCGACGAAAGTCGAACATATCTTCAATCCCCCGGTTCTCCATGTCTGCCAGTCAGACCTTTGCTCGGAGGCTAATGCTAAGAATACAAACTGATCCCTACAAATAAATTAGTCATTACGTTCAGAGCAGCTATGTTGTCGCACGGTGGGCTTAAGCGTCAGCTAACGTTATTATGCCCACGATGCCCCCGGGAATAACTAGCAGTCTATTTTTCAAGTTTGAAATGTTAGCTTAGCAAAAATGTTGCTGTCTGCGGTACTAGCATCGCTAGCGCCTGTGCTCCACTAGCACTACACAACAACAACACTTCCGGCCAGAATCCTCCAGAATAAAAATCCATTTATGTCAACTGAATAAAGCAGAGCCATAATAAAGGTTTCCTAATTTTGCCATACAAATGAACAATAATGTACCCTTTTGCTGACGTCTTTATAAATCCTTATAAATCATTTAAAGCCAGATTAGTTTATGAGTTCACCTTCGTCTGGTCTCGGATTTTCAAAATTAAAGTCCCCTCATGAAAAGGCATCGACATAATGTCCCCCTCTGGTGGATGTATTACATTAGAATTGGAAATTGGCTGCGACGACCATTATCTAATAATAATAATAATTACATGTTGCCATATTGTTTAGGTATAGTCTTTTAAAAATACTGTGCAGTGAGATTGTACAAAATTCATTCGTATTTAGTCGAACAATTATAAATCAAAGTATCCATGAGGACATTGAAATATGACGCAAGGGAGACCGTGGTCTAAAATATGTTTTAATGCATATCTAAGTGCGTTATCTAGATTTTAAAAGAATACACTTTATTATTATTGTGTCTGGGGTGACCCGAATGTATTTCAAAAGGTAGGGATTGCCTCACATTTTGTGGTAAAATCAAATATAACCATTTAAATAGCAAACGTTTAAAATTTATTTTTGCTTTACCATGTCACTAATATATATGATAACCAGGTACACACAATTGTAGTCCTTTTGATGTATAAAGTAATGTTGTATCTGTATCTGTTATTACGGATTTGCAACACTGTTAAATTGTGTGTGTACGTCTCTTGAACACACCCCGCCTGTTAATACTCTGTCTCCTCCCACATCCTCAGTCCTGTTTTGTTTGGCAACAACGCTAAACCTCTTGTATAACCACTGCTGATATTTACGAGTTTGAAATTGATTCGTCAGCTAAGAAAAACATCACATCTATCTTTTAATCTGAACATTTCTTTCTGACAATACACCGAAACCATCATGATGGTCGGATTCGGCTGTCCGGTAATCCTGTGGCTGGCCTTGGCCGCCGTGCAGGGCTCGGTCCTCGGGCTCGGTGAGGACATGGACCGGTCCCTGATCGGGCCTCCAGGCTCTCCCGTCCGGCTGCATGAGTCCGACGCTGGGCTGAAGAAGGCTCTGCAGTTCGCGGAGGAGCGCTACAACCAAGGCTCCAACGCCATGCACCTCCGCAAAGTCAGCAGGCTCCTCTCGGCCACCAAACAGGTGCACAAACGGGTTATTTGTTACAATATTTACATGTTAAATTAATTACGGCATTGTATCGTCATCATTTGTCATAACAGACTGTTGCAATTGTAATTGGTCGTCTGTATACTGTTTTTTTACATTGTAGTAAGACCGATGAGTAAGACATATGTTCTCCATCTTTTGTAAACAACATCACCTAATAGGGCCATTTAAAACTGCGTCACGCTAGCAAGAGTTAGCTAAACAAAGACCGGAAATACGCTGACTTACCTTCAAAATAATGGCCTAAACTCGTCTGCCTTATGTTCCTTACGTAGAGGTATACAATACAAAATAAAATATGCTTTTAGTTTTATCTTTCACAGACTTCTCATTGAGTTTGTTATTTATTTTAATATTTTCACTGTCTGTAAAGCATACAGAGAAAGGTTACTAGCAGCATTTCCCCCTCATTATTTTCATTATGCCCGGAAGTCATTTGTTTGAAATACACCTGACTTGACACTACAACCAAATTGCCTTATCCATTTGTGCAGTACAAGCTCCCTTTGTCTATCACTGTTCAGTATGGGCCACCATAGTCTCTCCCATAGACTGTATATATGGTCTCTCCATACAGCATGGAAGCATCCAGAAACAACAGTAAAAATCCCTAAAGTCTGGTAAATTACATTCAAATACACACATTGAATAGCCACTAGTAAACTAGGCTTTACCACTATTAGAGTTATATCTTGAATTAATTCTCTTATTGAAGTATTTTTTCCCTGTTTGTACATTACAATTGACCACTGTCTGTTGTGTATTTGTTCCCTTTTCAGCTTGTCAAGGGTATCCGCTACTCCATCACAGTGGAACTGAGTAACACTCAATGCAAGAAATCCACCATGCTCAGGACATGTGACTTCTATCCCGAGATACAGAAACTCAAGGTTGTTTGTGTGTGTGTGTGTGTGTGTGTGTGTGTGTGTGTGTGTGTTTGTGTGTGTGTGTGTGTGTGTGTGTTTGTGTGTGTGTGTGTGTGTGTGTGTGTGTGTGTGTGTGTGAGTGTGACAGAAAGACAGAGTTTTTGTTGATAAATAAGACAAAGTTGGTCATTGTCATGGTTGTATAAGAAGACGTAATGATGTATTTTTTGAAAAAAGGAAAGGTGCATCTAATTGTGTTTTCATATATTTTGCAGAGGGGTATTTTATTTTTAGTATTTAATCAGCAGATATGTCACCAGTCATATGATCTTGTGACTTGAGTTTGACTTCAAGTGAACCCAAGCTTGCTAATGCTTTATGAAACAAAGAAGTGTATGTGTTAGTGCTGTGTATGCAAGCCAGAGGCATGCATACACAGCACTAACACATACACTTCTTTGTTTCCTTTTTACTTTAGAGGGACGATCCATTCCTATTTTTAAAAACAGCCTTTATACAGGTGTCAAACAGATGATCTAAAGGGAGATTAGGCTGCATCGTGCTAAACAGATTATTCTACTTCTTTAATATACACTGTATTTGAAAACCTATCATATTAATTAACCATTCATATCTCTATCTTGTGACGTTTCATGTTTATGTCAGACGGAGGTGTGTTTGTTTGAAGTGTGGGACATTCCCTGGCAGGGCACTTCCACTCTGCTCAAGCAGAAGTGCCAGCCTAAAGGTGAGTTTGACCTTTGACATTGATCAGTCAACACATGCTTTAGTCTAATAAAAGCCGAATAACACAGCTGTGGTTCAACATGAATGACTGTGGTTCCTCTGCACCGGTATCTTGCCTTTATTCTTACCATAAGACATCAGGGTTAACAGCACTTACTATTAGTCTGCTGTCTATATTATCTTTCTAATATCCCATGTGCTTTGCTTCCTCTGTTTTATTAGCAGTATGTTCCAGGGTAACTGTGGCTCTAAAAAGTGGTTAAATAATCTTTTAAATGGTGTTTTAGACCCGCAATAATGTTATAAACTCCTAAAAAATGTCATGAATTGACTTGACCTGATCAAAAGTGTTATAACAAATGCAATGTCCTGGCTGATGTTGTACAAAACATGTTTACCGATAGTGTTATGCCTTTTGACGATATAAGGAATTTAAGAAAATTATTTTCAAAATATTACATCATCCTTCAAAATATGTTAACATCTGCTACCTGAAATGTTACTACAATATAAATCAGAACATTATCTATACAATATTCATTAAGTCATTACATTCATGGGTTTTATTACATAGTTATCAGGTCAAGTGCATATTTTATATACATTTCAAGAAAATGATTACAAAAAATAGAAATAATCTAATGAAGAATACACAATTGACTGATGATTTACAAGCAAACAAAAAAAGGCCCAGTAAAACAATTGAATAGGCATACTCATTTACAATCCATGTATTGTCTGACACATTAATTAAGATGTTCTGCATACTGACTCATAACATGTCCTGATGTCTTTCTCATCAGTTGAAGTTCAACAAGAAGAGACAAACAACATCGTCGATGCATCAACCAGCCAGCCTCTGGAGGTAAACATTTTACAGAGGAATTGGATCTAAATCTGTTATAGTCTGATTTAAAGAACATTTAGTTTCTAAAAACATACTGAAAATGGATTTGTTTAAAGGCCGTTGATAGTATTTTCTGATCAAATTATACAACATTTCTTGAATGCCCTCCTCACAACATTTTACTGTAATATGTCGACTAAATAAACAAAAAGGTTCATCCTGGCTTTATCCGATATTCATATTTCTATTCTGGAAATGTCTTCAAATTAGTACATATTTAATAATAATTCCTTTTATATCTAAAAATAACGCTTCAAAAAACATATAATACAAAATCTAACTGTCTTTACAAAAGTATCACATTGAGGAAGTTTCATAGTGATGTCTAAATGTAATTTTTTTTTTTAATTCATCACTAAAGTGGTCCATTCACTGTCATCAGCGGGATTTGAGATAAGGTAAAAGGTGTGTCGTTGATTCTGTGTGTTTGTTTGTCTGCTCTTTATCTGCTAGGACTCTGTGGAGCTGTTGGGCCAGTTCAAAGAGTTCATGGTCAAATACAACAAGGACTACAGCAGCCAGGAGGGTGAGGGACTGACACTAATGTTAATGTTATTTATTTATTTATTTTTTATCTAATTGTACGGTGTCCTTGGGTGTCATGAAAGGCGCCTAAAAATAAAATGTATTATTATTATTATTAATGTATTATACACCACAAACATTGCAATGTGCATATTCCTTCCTGTTTTCACAACCTGCCGCCTTAGTGTGCTCACAGCCCACTCGTAGAAAGACTACACAGATAATGTACAAAGCAAAACATCATTAGCTTTCTAACTGTAATCACAGATGCTTTAAATGACAGAGAGACGTGAAAACTGTTGACAAGACCAAAATATAATATCAATTATACAATAAATATAACAGGACTTTAGATGTTGATTGCCAACAACTATGCTGTTGCCTTTGTGCATATGACAAACAAAACCTTTGAGTGTTTGAAGCAATAAAAACCCCAGTATGAAAGACTAAACATAAGGCTTAATATCCCACATCCATTCAGCACCTGTGGACCAATGGCTTATAAGCATCTCACAAAAAAATCCCAAATAAGACATTTAAAAATGGCGTGGACTAAGGAGGGGTTTATATCTCAATCTGTGGCACATAATAAAAACAAACTATTAAAGATGAAATAAGGACTAACTGGTTGTTGGAAAATAGACATATGAGGCTGAAGTTATACCTTGGATTTCATCTTAAACATCTTTGTGGATTTCTTGTTTATTGGTATACAAATGTATTTATTATAATGGAGTTAAAAGGACTCCAACACATTTAAAAAATGACTAAAAGAGAGGGTCACAGGATATTTGATGTGTTGCTTTGCATCCAGAATTGTGTGTCCTGTCAAAACCCCAGGGTGTTTACACCTGTCACATAACATGTACCATATAAATAACCAGGCCAGAGTGTTTGACTGCTAAAGGCCAAATCTGTCAATCATACCGATGTTTCATTGTTGGAGGAGACTGACACTTTGTATTGCCAAGAGCTGTTCTGCGTGTGACTAATAAAGTCTTTGAATTTCTTCGAATCCCTTTGATCCTGCAGAGGCAGATTATCGTCTGTTTGTCTTCCACGAGAACCTGAAGACCGCTGAGAAGCTGCAGACTTTAGACCAAGGCTCAGCCGAGTATGGAGTCACCAAGTTCAGCGACCTGACTGGTACGTGTGTGTGTGTGTGTGTGTGTGTGTGTGTGTGTGTGTGTGTGTGTGTGTGTGTGTGTGTGTGTGTGTGTGTGTGTGTGTGTGTGTGTGTGTGTGTGTGTGTGTGTGTGTGTGTGTGTGTGTGTGTGTGTGTGTGTGTGTGTGTGTGTGTGTGTGTGTGTCTACACAGTCCCTTATGGGGACAAATTGGAGGTCCCCATGAGGGGAATCATTAATTTTAGGGTGAAGTCTTGGTTAGGGTTAGGGTTAGGCATGTGTTGGTTATGGTTAAGGTTAGGATACGTCTCCAGGAAATGCATGTAAGTAAATGTAATGTCCCCTGAAGTGATGTATACATGGTGTGTGTGTGTGTGTGTGTGTGTGTGGTGTGTGTATTTCAACACAGTTTCAAGTGAGGAAAGGCCCCTTCTGCTTTTCTTGTGTTGTATCAGCTTCTCCACCAAGATATCCTCTTGAGTAACACTAAAGTGTGTCTGCTCTTCTTCTGTTTTCCTCCAGAGGAAGAGTTCCAGTCTGCATACTTGAACCCGCTGCTGAGTCAATGGAATCTTCACCGACTAATGAAACCGGCTCCTCCTGCCCGAGGTCCCGCCCCTGCCAGCTGGGATTGGCGGGATCACGGGGCTGTCAGTTCTATCAAGAACCAGGTAGGTTTAATTATAGGTGAGTCACCCTAATTAACAGGGGAACATGAATACATTACACCTCCTGCCCACTTCCTGCTGATTGGAGTGTGTGTTTCTGTTTGTTTGTGTCGCAGGGTATGTGTGGATCCTGCTGGGCATTTTCTGTGACTGGCAACATCGAAGGCCAGTGGTTCCTGAAAAATGGAACGCTGCTGTCCCTCTCTGAACAAGGTAACACACACATGTGCACAGACCCAAACAGACACAAACGATACAATCATTTTATATTTAGCTCCTTCTCAAAAAAATATCTTTCCTTATATTACGAGATATAGGTCATGTTTTGATTAGTTTATTTGGTTGTCCTTCTCAGAGCTGGTTGACTGTGATGGGCTGGACCAGGCGTGCAAAGGCGGGCTGCCGTCCAACGCTTACGAAGCTATAGAGAAGCTGGGTAAGAAAGACTTGAGATGAAAGATTTAAGCTTCAAATACCCAATACTTTTACTTTGGAAGTGAAAGCTTTTTATTGATAGCTAGGGGCGGGACGATGTAGGATTTAATTGCAGATCATGATAAAAAACACTAAGAATAATCGGATCCAGGGTTTTGTCTGAACCAGATAACAAGGGCGCTGCACATACCAAAATGCAGTTTTTCCCCGTAAAATGTAAAAGTGATGCCAGAAAACCATATTTCTGTTCGTCCAAAACAATACATTTACTCCAGAAATAGGAAAATCGTGTCAAACAGACCGTCAGACGGCATAGACAGCTTTGTTTTTATGGGCCTCCAACATCCTGTTGTTGTTTACGTCTGCGTCGCCATCTTGTAGACGAGCGTCATGTTCTCGCGATAATTGATACATCTATAATTTATATGTGTGTATATATATATATATATATATATACAAGATCAGCGCCACAATATTGCCGTCATACTGTATTTTTCTAGAAAAAACCCTGATATCTTTATATATTTCCATTAAAAGTGAAGCTATAAACTATCATTGTAGTGAAGGTGAAAAAAAGAAAATATATATTTAAGATTGTTTGTATTACACTGAAATGGATCTTCATTTTACGTTGTTTAATGTCATTTTTAGAAGACACTCATTTGAATAAATAATAATATTGTGAATCACAACTCTCATTGTCAGAATAATCATGACATTAAAAGTTTTCATCATCCCACGGCTAATCTAAACACCCCGCGGAAGTGTTCTTGTGATTAATGCTAATACTGTGTGCAAGCTTTTCACTTTGTTCCCCTGCATGTGTTATTTAGGTGGCCTGGAGACAGAGACAGACTACTCCTACACCGGCAAGAAGCAGAGCTGTGACTTCACCAGCATGAAGGTGGCCGCCTACATCAACAGCTCGGTGGAGCTGTCCAAGGACGAGAAGGGTGAGTGGGCTGAGCCTGTAGAGAGGGAATAACGACATACAGTCTGTGGCTTCAGAAAATCATCATTTTATATTTGAATATCCTAAAAACAATTCATCTGAAAACGGCAAAACAATTATGTCGAGGGTTCTGGAGGAAAACTTCCAACCTATAATAAATACAATTTAGTTGGCTAAAATAGTTCTATTTAAAGCTCAGTCAAGAAGTAATCTGAACCTCGGTTTCAGAACATTTTCATTTTGTATCTTAGGTCAAAGCATTGATGAAGGTCAAATGAAAATATGACTCAAATAAGTGGAAGTGGAAATGAGTAGGTGTTGATTTTGCAGGTTAATTTAATGTTACTTGATCATTTTGCTGTGTAAAAATAGGTAACAAAGAGCTATTCAATGGACTACGTGTTTATTATATTTTGACAGACATTGCAGCTTGGCTGGCTGAGAATGGACCCGTCTCTGTTGCACTGAATGCCTTCGCCATGCAGGTAAGCAGTTCTGTCCACCACTACCATCACCTCTATCTACATGATACATCAAAAGATAACATAATGTCAAATTGCACCTTATGGGATCATCGACATGCAACCACATTTAATTCATTTTGTCTTTTACATTCCCGCAGTTCTACAGGAAGGGTGTGTCTCACCCTATGAAGATCTTCTGCAACTCCTGGATGATCGACCACGCTGTGCTGATGGTGGGATACGGAGAACGTAAGAGTTTTTGTTCAGTTTTTTTACTCATATACCCACTTACTAATAATAAAGTAATAAAGTGTAATAAAGTTTCTGTGCTTTCAGGTAAAAATATCCCATTCTGGGCCATCAAAAACAGCTGGGGAGAGGATTATGGAGAGCAGGTAAGACAACCTCACCTTCTTACAGTCTTTGTTTGTTGATTCGAGTGAGTAAAATATGTATTTATTATTTTTGGAAATATAGCAGTTGGAAAACCAAATTCAGATTTTTTTATTTAATGATCGGCAGAATTTCTTGATTTGGGATGCTGTACAGAACTAATGAGTTTTTTTACATGTGTATTTGTTTCTCTCTCTCTTTTCTCATACAGGGTTACTACTACCTCTACAGGGGGTCCAATGCGTGTGGGATCAACCAGATGTGCTCATCTGCTGTCGTCAACTAAACCACCAACACCCAATATACACACACTCACACACAATTGATCAAAAACACATGATGATTACACACACACACACACACACACACACACACACACACACACACACACACACACACACACACACACACACACACACACACACACACACATCACTTCAGGGGACATTACATTTACTTACATGTATTTCCTGGAGACTTATCCTAACCTTAACCATAACCAACACATGCCTAACCCTTACCCTTACCCTAAACCTAACCAAGTCTTCACCCTAAAATGAATGATTCCCCTCATGGGGACCTCCATTTTGTCCCCATAAGGGAAGCCAGTCCCCACACGTGACTGTGTAAACAGATGTAGGTCCCAACAAGTATGGTAACGCTAGACCACACACACGTAAAGTCCTACTGATGTTACTTTTCCGTTAAACCAAACTCACATCTTCATACCTCATACCTCACACCTCGTGTCAGTTTACTAAAAGTATACCAGCTCTAATAAAGCTAGTTTTTCTTAGGACTTTGATCCTTATTTTAAAGTAAAGTATTTGTGCAGATTTTATTCCGTTTGGTCATAGTGGTTGCTGTGTTGTATGCAGTTTTGGTTTTTAACTCATTTTTCCTCACAGTAACTGATTTCTAGTTTGATGAAGAGCGTGCAATATTGTAGTTAGTGTTCTGTCTTGTGGGTTTTCTTTGATGTTTTTAACAGTGTTCATGCTAATGCTATTTAGCACTGGAGTTTTGAAAGATGGGAGTTTTACCATATATTGGTCTGCACATATGCTCCGATCGTAACTGCAATGAAATTGTAAAAACTGCTGTTAGACAGTCACACTTGAATGAAGGTTGAATAAAAAAGTGTGGAATCCAATTCTTTGTGTACAGTTTTGTTTTCCTATATGCACTTGAACCACACATTTCATTTGAATCAATTGATAACGCAAACGAATACAACATCACATTTTACTATGATTGAATTAAACTGTATAATCAACCTTATTCATAAACTGCAAAGATCACATTTTTGTAGAGAAAACTGTATAAACATGCACTAAGATTGTGTTGAATACGTGTGTTTGTGGATTTCTTCTGTATTTAACAAGGATTTGGCCAATGTAAGTACAAAATAGATAACATTTGAAATTCACAAAGTAACATTTTTACCTTGGGAATTGTGTGAGAACAGTTCGTAATATCTACATGTATATTTTTATATTTTATATTTCAACATGTATATTTTATATTTTATTTTAATATAAAATTTATTATTTTTATTTATTTATTTATTTCTATTCTTGTTTATTTTTGTTTTATTGTAAAATGCCTTGTTTTTCATGCTGCTGCAACAAAAACAATTTCCCAAATTGGGATCAATAAAGTACCATCTTGTCTCTTATCATGAATGCTATTGATCTTGAATGTTCCACAAACTGAGAACAAAAAAACTCTATTTCCCACAATGCAATAGCACTGCAACGGAAGAAATAGACCCCCCATCTTTTTTGAACAATTATCTGATCTTATTAGTTACTATTAGTCAGAAAGGTAATAACAAATGAATGCATTTTTGTATTGATTGGCTTTTATCTGAAAGTCCAAGTGTAATTATAATTGCATACCTTTATTTTGAAAGGGGAGAGCTTGACACCGGAAGTGTAACATTCAGTGAAGCAAGAAAACAGAAACGCATGTGGCTCGGCTTTAAGTTACAGATACATTCATCTCTACGTGATTCAAAAGTGATTCTCAGCTGCTGTCGAGCTGCCTTTAAACACTGCCTTCCTTACAGAGACACAATTACTCTTTTCTTTCAAGGTATTTATGTAACCTGGTATCGCTGTTGAACCTGAGCTATGTTTTGAGATAGCTAATGTTAGCTTACTCTCATAAGGCACTAGTTCTGTTATTAGTAAAGTAGGAAAACAGCTTTTTTCTTACGTTACGCTTAGCAGCTAGCACAAAAACTTAAGGGAATATGAAGTGTTGTTATTCGTCCATCATTGAAATCGCAGCGGTTAACATCTGCCAAGCTAACCGGTGTCTAGTTTGTGTGAGCTTAGCTTGTTTTCATGTTACCTGGTCAGTTTTCATTTTTTATATTGCTGTTAGTCAAACCTCCTGTTATAGTTTGTCTACTTAACCTGCGGTGGAAGAAGTTCTCAGACGATTTACTTAGAAGTAGCAATATTTCAGTGTAGGCCTACTGCTTTTTACAATTGTACTTAAGTAAAAGTAAAAAAGTACTACCATCAAAATATACTTTCAGTACCAAATGTAAAAGTACTCATTATGCAGAATGGCCCATTTAAGCACCATATTACACATGTTTGAATTATAATTATTTCTATTATATTTCTAAATGATATAACTTCCAATGATGCACTTAGTGAAAAGTGGTAAACGTTGGGTTTATTTGAATTACTTTATATACTACTGGGTTGCTTAACTTATAAGAATATATCATAATGATGAATTAATGCTACCCATTACTTTAAACTCTCTTTTCTCAGCTGGTGGAGGAACTGAAGCTCACCTTTGATAATGTCACAGGCCACCAAACGCAAGCATGTTGTGAAGGAAGTTCTTGGAGACTTTGTCACTCCCACAGAGAACCAGCAGATAGTGAAGGTGAACTGTGTGAAGACTGCTTTGTATTTAACGCACTGACTGTAAATAACCACCCTCATCGATACAAGACCCTGTCCTCACTCTGTCTCCCTCCTTTGCCACGGGTAGGTTACTGGTAGCCGTGGTAACAACCTCCATGAAGCTGTCACGGCTCAGGGCGTGACGTTCCTGGTGAGCATGCCCCCCAAGTTCCGCAAGAACCTCTGGATCAAGAGAGGTAAGTCCGGGGTTCACAAACACTTGAGCGAAAGACACAGAAGAGAATGTCTCACAGGCACCCTTACTTACGATACTACAGCAAGGGTGCCATAACATCTACACCAATAAACGGCTAATAACGAACTCAACACACATTGAATTGAATATGTATGTGACGTGTGTTTCATGATTAAAGTTACAGCAATAACCAAATGAGTTGAATGTAATGTTGGGTTCCGAACAAAATGAGCTTGCACTATGAACACTGAAAAATTAGGACATAAACGCAATAAGGCAATACTCTAGTATTATACCCTATCTTTTCTATATATTTTACTGTCAACTGTTGACCCAATAAAAACGGTTTCTTAGCTATATTAAACTAAGGTAAGTGATGGATGTTTAGATTGAAAATGTAGATCATTAAAAACTGCTCGATATTGCTAATAGCAATTCATAGATCTATTTCAAAATCCTGCAATATCATAGGGATTTGTAAAGTTGTTATCCTGTATGTAGCTAATCAATGGGTATACAGGGTTTTGTCTAAACCGGGCTAACACTTAAACTGTGATTTCTGAATTATATCGTTTCTTTTAATGTCTTTTTTTCTGTAGAGGTAGTAAAGAAACCGTAACTTGGGATTTGTGTTGTTTGAGGTGCAAAATATACAGCTTTAAGACATGGGGCCTTCATTTCGCCCGGATGTGACGATAGCGTTGCTCTCATCTATACTTTATTTTTCTAGAGAACCCCCTGTGGTATATATTTTCATATACTATCAGAGTTTTAGAAAATGTATAATGCTTACATATGCTAACACAATATCTTTACCTGTGTTGTCTGTGGCTTTTAAAAAAAATGCTGTTTTGTATTTAGGGCTTTTACAAAAAAATAGATATTGATATAAAATCCAAACTAAATGTGCAATACGTGGGTAGGAATTAGTATACGGGCTCAAAGAAAAATCTCTCATTCTATTTTTAATGAGATTTATTTTTTGGTTCATATTTCATATATGTTTCTAATCTCCAAGGTGACTATGTGATAGTGGATCCCATTGAGGAAGGAGAGAAGGTGAAGGCAGAGATCAGCTTCATTCTCTACAAAGATCACATTCAGAACCTGCAGAAACAGCAGCTCTGGTAAGTGGGAACACACACACACACACACACACACACACACACACACACACATACACACAACCAATCAGTTTGTCAAGAGTAACTGAGTTGTTTTGTGTTTCCTTTACTTCCTTCAGGCCGGAGGGATTCACAGAGGAGCCACTGGAGCCGGAAAAGCCAAAAAAAGGGCAGGAAAAGAGAGAGGACACGGAGGATAAAGACGAAGAAGACTTTAGTGACTCTGAGGATGACGAGAGCGACCTTTTTGTAAACACCAACCGCAATAACTACCAGTACATTGAGAGCGAGGAGGAGGACAGTGATGAGGAAGAAGAAGATGGCAAAGAGAAAAGGACAGAAAATGGTTCGTAGTGGCAGAGATGAGGAGGACACGGACAATCAGGAGAGCCAACGAGAGCTGTAAAAGAAATCATGAGTCAGCTGATATCGCTGACTAAGTGATGATAATCTGAAACATCGATCCTCATGCAACTGCTCGCTCTAGGTAGCCTGTTGTTGACGCTTCATTGAACGGACTTGTATTTAAAGGACCAGTGTTAAGAATGTAGAGCAGAAAATAATTATAATATTCATAACTGTTTTCCAGAGTGTATAATCACCTAAAACTAAGAATTGTGTTTTCGAACTTTCCTTTTGCGTGTTGAAGTCTTAACTTGGTTCAAGAATCCACATGGCTGAAGAAGCGGTAGATTGTGCTGGGTTTGTGAAGTGTTTAAGAACCCAACATTTAATACATGGGGGAATCAAATCCACACACTGATCTTTTGATGGAACGAAATAAGTTTTGCTGGTTATATGCTTTAAGAAAAATTGGAAATATGCAATATCAAACTTGACCTGAAATTGAAAAAGAATGCTGTATTACTTCATGATCACTTTCTACCGTACTTTCAGTGTCTTACTGAAAATGACCTCGAGTGCAGCCTTTACTTGATCACCAATATAACAGGTCATAACGTTCCTATGCAGGATAATGTATATGTAAACTGTTCATCGATTCATACCGCATAGGACAAAATTAGACTGTGAGACACTCACAACAATTAAATACTCAAAACTAATGACGGAACACTTGCATAGTTATTCTGTGGGGTGTGAGGTGTAACACCCTTACAGTTTTGCCTCAGGAGGCCATTGTTTGGACTTTTGCCGCTCTTTGTATTAATTTTAGTTGACCTCAAGCTGTTGTACTTAATAAGCTGCCATTGTGATCGCTTTGTGCATCATCTGACATTCCTTACCCGTTCTCTGATTTTGGTTTGTGTAATATTGAAAGTTTTGAAATAGATCTTCTCCTTGTAAAGAATGTTATTTATTTCAGATTACTATCTCTTCTTGAAACATTTCCCCTGAAGCATGACAATTCACGTCCAAAATTACCATATGTATACATGTGTCAATTCCACTCAAATGAGCTCACAATACATGGAAGTAAAAAAAAAAAGGATGATTGAAATGTCAGTGAAACCAGTCTTACAGGACGTTCTTTCTGATGCAGACAGGTGCTGAGTGCTTAACTTAAACTTACATTTAGCATTGTAAGGACACTCATTCTGCTGTGAAATAACATGATGTGGATGAAGAACTTCGACCCTAAATAATTCTTTAATATTTGAAGTCCCTGTTATTCAGTCTGCTACTTGATAGTCCCACATTTTAACCCAATTACAATACCAAAGTCAATTTATATAAATTCATACCACTGGAAATATCTCGACAATATATATATATTGATTTTAAACATGTTTTCATTAAAAAAAGATACAATTATTACATGTTGATGGTCAAAGATCAAGCTCACTGTAAACTGCACAACAAGTTGGCCATAACTCAAGAATGCAAAGGCATATTTCATAGAAATGTCTAAAAGGATGAAATGATAAAGTAGTGACATTTTATATCCAATAGGTTAACCTCACTGTGACGTTATAATATTTAGCAAAAACACTTTTCTAGCCAAGAAGGAGAGATTGACACCATATCTCACAACTGGATGGAAACTGAATTTGTGTCAATAATCTTGGGTGATGAGGGTGTGTGGAGCAACCATCTTTAGACATTCATATTTTGAAGCATTGTTAACTGTCATGCTTTGGCTTTGGTCACAGGATAATGACTCATCCTTTCTTTAAAGGACATATTAAATAGTTTAAAAACAAACAAATCAAACATTGGCAGGTTGACCAAATGTAGTTGTTGGTTGAGAAGTCGGGGTGGAGGGATAAAGTAAACGCCTTTTTCAGTTCCACAGGTCCTCTAACCACGGATATGTTTCTGACTAGCTGGAGTGTTAGTACATTCAGTTCAGATGACGCATTCTGCAGATCTGGCTAAACCACTTCTAACTCAAATGATCCCAGCAGTGGTTTAACATAGTTACATTGAGCATACTTTTTGTACATACTTCAGATAAAATAAAGATGATACATAGCAAAACAAAGGAGGGATCATTACAGTTAAATAGTGAAACTAAAACAATGTATGACAAGACATATATATAAACAATTACAATAACTTTACTTTACAAGAACAGATGGAGACAAAAATTGCAAGGGCCATATGTTAGATAAATAGAGGTCATATGATATTTTACTAGCCCTTAAAAACAAGACTTCTGTATTTTGAGGAAATAATAACATATTGTTCTGCTTACCAGAAATATGAATTCACAGGACACAAAAACGTTATTGCTCACTTGAAAGTTTTGCTACTTCAACCTCACATTGTCTTATATGACCTCTACCTTACGGTGGGCTAATGGCAGAAGTTAGCCATCAGTGCATTCTGCCAGAAAGGGTCTAATTTAACCCAAACCATGATATTTAATGGTGTTGATTATTTATATTCGACCAAATCGTTTAGTTGCCTAAACCCTTTTGACAAAAAGGCTAACTTCTGTGCATACTTTGGCTAATGTTAGCAAGCTTTGGCTAAACTTAAAAAAAGACGTAATGTGAATGGTAATGCTTTACATTCTCTAGTTAAAATCAATTATTTGTATATAATAAGAATATTAATAATTGGTACTTCATATTATATTTCTTATGTGAAATGAATGTTCAAACAATAATTATGTATTTTTGGTCAGTCTGTTATGTTGATGGATCCCAGGACTTTCACAGTGTTTAAGATAATTAAATATAACCCCAGAACATGGATGCCTGCAGACAATAAATACAGCGTAATACAGTGTCACCTCTTTATGACTGACAGCTGAACTTCAGTGAATCTTTAAAATAACTTGGGGTTTGCTTACAGTGTTGTGTTTATTCTCGTCCCTCCTATCAGGGGCACACCCCAACACTGTGCCTCTGTTTTTTTCATGTTGGCCCACAGTTTTAATACTTGGTTGGGGAGACGTCTGTGCACCAACAGGATTCCATGATACGAACACAGTTGGTCTTCATCGTTTCCGGTGAAATCAAAAGTAAGGAAGGCAGGGTGGTGGACCGGACCAGCATTTAGCCTAGCCATACACATTCCCACATAAACGTCATCAATGGGGAACAGGTGGACCCTTTTAGACACATTGTGTAGGCGTTTGGCCAATAGGCCTGAGTACACCACCCCTCCACCACCTGCGTATAAAGGATACTGGCCCTTGTAGAAGCTTTCTGGGACATAGTACTTAGACTTGTTGACTCGGTTGGGTAAAGCTCTAATTATGACATTGCCAACCATAAAGCCTTTCATTGACTTGTGTGCTTGTGGCTTCTTTAGCTCACCTTTTAGGTAGCTCAACATATTTGGGATGTTGACAAATACATCGTCGTCCCCTTTAAACACAAAGCTAGTCTGGCCGCACAAGCTTGAGAACCAGCTCCAGAACAACACATCTTTCAAGGTGAGGTTGAAAAATGTGTCACTAAAGTCCCACTGCAGAATGTCTCCATGAAGTTTACTCTCCATCTGCAGTATCTCAGATAGATCCACACCCAACTCCTCAGTATTTTCCTTGCCCAGCAAAAAGACCCTGCGGCGTACCCTCCACCATTGTTGTTTCTCTTCCGTCCAGCTGCCCATCCTCCCTGGCCCCATGTCTGTCTAATGACATGTCGGTTCTTAAAATTCAGTTCTGTTGACTTAATGGCCAGAAGAAGAAGAGGGGGCTCCTTCTCCTCATGTGCCCCGGCTCCACATACTCCATCTGGCTGGAGGAGCAAAGGGTAGTCTCTCCTTTGCATTTGGCTCACAAAATCTTGTATCTGCTGTGGTAGCTTGTTTGTGTTTGAGTCAGTAACTTCAGAGTAAACATTCTTCAGTATGGCCTCATTAAAGTTACCATTTTCAAATCGCCTCGTGAGTTTTTTGGGGTGGAGGATGGGGTTGAATCGACGTTCGTTGGTCAGCTGGAGGCGGTTCCATATGGCTTGACCATGCAGGCTGGTAACCCAGAACGTTTTGGGCAGTGGGGCGAGGCCTTCATTCTTAAGATTTCCCAGGGGAACAAAGTGAGGATTTGGGATACCTGACTCCATGGCCTTGCACAACATGACCATGATGAGGAATAGCAGCAGTGCCAGGGAGATGAATGGTGTGCACACACAGATCAACACTCTGCGCCAGCGACAGAAGCACCTTGCCATTTAACTGCAAAGATATGAAAAGAATGTTCGAGTGGATAAATAATACATTTGTGTAAAAAATACATGTTTTTGAGTATCAAAATACATTGAAAGGACTTGTGGGCTTGTGCACAAACATTTGGGTATCTGGAGACAGACTGTGAGTTAAGACAACTAAGTTCGTTTTTTGTTGTCATGTCTGTTGTGATGAAACATGGCGTTTAATAAGACATTAAGATATGGCTCCCCTTCCCATGTCACTAAAATATTTGCCTCCTATCTGAGAATTTCCACACACTGAGGAATTTATTTTTGCTTTTGACTTTGCTTTAGGATACAAGTTGCCAAAATCAATCCGCTTAGGTCAGAGGGTGAATACAGGTATACTTGGTCATAGTATAAACAATTCGGTTTTTTTCAACATTAAAACATGTAAACATGTTCAAGTAGAAACCCTAAGTACAAGTATGGACCTTATAAAAAGAACACTAAGTCCTAAGTTAATGAAACATTGAAGCCCAGAGTTGTACATGGACAGAAAAAAACCCATGAGGGAGATAAAGGCTACTGAAAGTTGAAAAAACCATCTCCAAAATGCCATGCGAAATGTCTAAAGTCAAAGATGAATCTTGATTGGTCCAAATTTGACCCGAGTCACCCAAAACAATTCTGCTGGGTCTTCCCAGACCCGAACACCAAATTATACACTTTTTTTTTTAGAGACCTTCAGACTAGGCTAAAATGGTCAAAATCAGTTTTGTAGTGTTTATATAGCTGTTGCGGAGGATATCATGAAGCCTTGTTTGCGATAAAAAACTAGAGCGTAGTTATTATATCATTTTAACTTGAAACGGGTCATGGGAGATCCGAACACAACATAAGGGTTAATATAAATGAGTCAGCTGTTTTATTTGCTTGCCTGCCTTAGGTGAAGACTCCAACATTCACTGAGTACTTGTCTTTTTTAGAAAATCAAAGCAGGTAGTCCATGTTAGAAATCCGATGGGCCCTTTATTTTTAAGAAATAAAATCAAGATTGACTTCTTCTCTCACAAGATGGAAGTTTCTCTAATGTTGAGTCAACATTATTTCTCTTTTCTGGTTTCTGTCATCAGTCAGGTCATCTGTCCAGCCCATACATTAGACTGCTGTACCTCACAAAAGGAACGTAATTCTGCAAATGCCTACTACCAAGAAGACACCAACAGGTAAGGTGTGCGCATGAGGCAGGGATACATGCAGGGAGAGCGCACCGGGCAACGGGGCATCTCACTGGGCACAGCGACCGTCCCAGATCAATAATAGTCCGCTTCCAAAACTACAACGTGAGGCAAAGGGTGCTACAAGCCGCCTGGGCAAAGAAGGACATTAGGGTGAAAGATTGCAGGATTTTCTTTGATGAGGACTTCACCACCCAAGTGTTCAAGGAGCGCGCAAAAATACAGACAAGTAAGGAAGCAGCTCCAGGAAATAAACATCAAATCCCGCATTCTGTTCCCTGCTAAACTGAAATTATTCGAGAAAAACGGAAAAGTCAGGGTGTTTAACAACCCACAAGATGCGGCACAGGGTCTACTGGAGTATGGTGTCAACATGGAGAGTCCAGCAGGAGAACCGGACTTGGAGTCTACTCTTCAGGCTTCAGGATGGCAGACACACCGCTCCAGGAACCGGAGAACCCCAGGATGTGAGCTGATGTCGGACGTAAAGACATTAATTGACTCGCTTGATCGGCATGAAAGAGCAAAGGAATGAACAGGTATGTGTGGAGGGAGTTAACTCCTTGCAGACGTACATGGAAAACAATAACAACACATAAATGACTGAGCCACTCGGAATCTTTTCCAGATTTGACAACACAGAGTATAACATGTACAATTTTGATTATGATGTCGATTCAGAGAATCATGTGTTTAATCATATAAGTGACTCGTGTAAATATTATACCGATGATCAATTTAATGACAATGTTGGACTTGAAAATACATTTTCTTTAATACATTTCAACTGCAGGAGTCTGTATGCAAACTTTAATAAGATCACTGAATACCTACATACATTTAAAAGTAAATTCAAATTAATTGCCATATCGGAGACTTGGCTAAATAAAGACGAAGTCACTGATTTCCAAATTGAGGGTTACGTGCTACACCATATCAACAGAACCAATAAGAGAGGAGGGGGTGTGGCTCTTTATGTGGACAGCGTCCTAAAATGCACACTGGTTGAACAAAATTCAATTGTGACTGATGATTTAATGGAATGCATAACTATATAAATTGAAATGGAAAGGAAGAGAAATGTTGTTGTGACTTGTGCATATAGAGCACCAGGATCAAATGTAGAGCTTTTTAAAGATAGTTTAGGAGTATTAATGGATGGCCTAAATGAAAATAAAACATGTATTATTTGTGGGGATTTTAACATCGATCTTCTAAATGTATCTAAACACAAAACAACTTCTGATTTCCTGGATGCTTTGTACAGCAGGGGGCTTTATCCCCTAATCACTAAGCCCAGTAGAATAACATCAACTTGTGCAACATTGATCGACAATATCTTTACAAATGTCATGGAAAACAGTGCTAAGAGTGGGCTAATAATAAATGACATAAGCGACCATTTACCTGTATTTGTAGCATATGATTGGCAATTAAAGAAAAAGAAGGAAGAGATTCGCAGTAGATATGTCAGGGTAAAGACTGCTGAAGCAAAAGACACATTTAGGAGTGACCTCTTAAAGGAAGAGTGGAGAGGGGTTTATGTAGACGATGTAAATGCTGCATATGAGTCCTTCCTAAAAATCTACATATCACTGTATGACAAACATTGTCCCACTGTACTCCGTACATATAAAGGTACTTATCATCAAAAGCCTTGGATAACCAAGGGCTTACAAAATGCTTGCAAGAAGAAAAATAACCTTTATAAAGACTTCATCAAATTTAGGACAAAGGCAATTGAAAAGCAATACAAGGCATATAAAAATAAGTTGACAGTTATAATGAGACAAGCAAAAAGAGAATATTATAATAATATGTTAAAAGAAAAGAAAAATGATATCAAGGGCACATGGAAAATCTTAAATAATGTTATTGGAAATACATCTGTATCCACTGGCCAATTCAACTCTTTTTTGTAAATGTCGGTCCTAATCTTGCAAAGACTATTCCAAAACAACACGATGGGCAAAAAGAGGATGTCGGAATTGGGGGAAGTAAAGTGTTGCAGTCAATGTTTCTGGGAGAGATAAACGAAATTGAAATTAGATCCATTGTAGACAAATGCAAAAATAAGACTTCGACAGATAGTGATGGGATCGACATGACAATAGTGAAAATGACTATTGACTGCATAATTAAACCGCTAAGCTACATTTTTAATCTTTCATTTCAGACAGGTATTTTCCCAGATAGCATGAAAATAGCTAAAGTTATCCCACTTTTTAAAACAGGGGACAAAAGCCAATTTACCAACTACAGACCAGTGTCCTTGCTTTCTCAATTTTCAAAGGTCCTTGAGAAATTGTTTGTCCAAAAATTTGATAATTTTATTGAAAAAAATGAGTTATTGAGTGAGAGTCAGTATGGATTTAGGAAAAATCGATCTACAGCTTTAGCTTTAATGAAAATAACAGAAGAAATTACAACAGCTATAGAAAGAAAGAAATACACAATAGGTGTATTTATTGACTTCAAAAAAGGCATTTGACACCATAGATAGACCATTACCTATTAATTTCGAAATTACATAGATACGGAGTGAGAGGAGTAGTTCTAGATTGGTTAAAAAGTTATTTAGATAACAGACAACAATATGTAGAATTTGCTGGTAGTACATCGGAGTGTATGAACATAGAATGTGGTGTCCCGCAGGGCTCGGTTTTAGGGCCTAAACTTTTTATTTTGTACATCAATGACATATGTGAAACGTCAACATTATTGCAATTTGTGTTGTTTGCAGACGACACACATGTATTTTGTTCAGGGGATGACTTAAACATTTTAGCAAAGTGTATTGGACATGAAATGGTCAAACTTAAAAGATGGTTTGATGAAAATAAGTGAACCCTAAATTTGAATAAAACGAAATTTATGGTTTTTGCTAATATAAAAAAAGATGAAAACATTTCACTGTCCATTGATGGAGTTTTTATTGAAAGGGTTTCTGAATTTCGATTCTTAGGTGTGACGCTGGATGAAAACCTGACATGGAAATCACACATAGCACATGTTAAAACGAAAGTGTCTAGGAATATTTCTGTTCTAAACAAGGCAAAGTATTTGCTAGATTACAAGGCATTGAGGATGTTGTACTGTTCACTCATTTTGCCATTTTTCATTTATTGTATAGAAGTGTGGGGCAACACGTATATGAGCAACATAAAGCCATTGTCAATATTACAGAAAAGGGCAGTAAGAATAATTCATAAAGCTGACTCAAGAGAACACACCAGACTGTTATTTAAGTCAGGACTCTTGAAACTCAAAGACAGAGCTGAGCTCCAGACATTATCAGTAATGCACAGGGCAACAAGCAGAAAGTTACCAGCATGTTTACAACAGTTGTTTGTTTTTGGATCAGACAAGGAAGACCACAGAAGGACATTTAATTGTAAGCATCCATATGCAAGGACTACTCTTAAACAAATGTGTATTTCGGTAGTTGGTGTACAATTGTGGAATTCTCAACACAAGGATCTAAAGAATTGTATTTGTATTTTTCAGTTAAAGAAGTTGTATAAATGAAGAAAGATGGGACTATATGAAGCAGGATGTGAATAAGTCTATGTACTCTGGTCCTTCATGTTTTTGATGTCTTTGATGTGATGTCTCCTCTGTATTTGCGGGTCCCATTGCCATTGTTATTGTTGTTATTGTTTTTATCATCATGTGTCGCTTTCCACCTTCTTCTCCAGTAGGACTCAGATGAGGGTGTTGCACTTTTCTTTTCCTTATACATGTGATGTTTTGGTGTTTTGTTTCTTTCCGTTAACCGTCAAGTGGGAAATAAGTATTTTTTTTGTGTGTTTCTCTTAGTATCCTAAGATACTGTTACGTTTGGCTGTGATTTTTTTTTTATTATTATGAAGGGCAGACCATCTATTTGTATTTATTTGTTTTTTTTAGAAAGGGGCAGGTCACATAAGATTTTATTCTTCTCCCTGCTCCTTTTCGCTCAATGGTAGAGTCATGTTTTGTGGCAATTATTGTACATTTGGTTTTGCGTACCATGAGCGGGACAAATACAAATGAAATTAAATTAAATGAAATACACCCATTGACAAAGTGAGCAAACAGGAATGACGCACAGGTGATGAGTGGAAATGGGTTAAGCCATCCAACAACGGCCAACGCAAATCAATACGTAGAAGTCAATTGTAAAACAAATACACTTTTGTTTTTTGCTGCTGTCGCCCCGATTTCAATAAATGTACCAAAAATTGCGTAGTTTAATTACATCTTGTGTTGTGAAGTAACAGAAAATAAATAATAATAACATTTTTGTAACATTATTATTATTATCTGGTGTTTATTTTATAATTGAATTACATGTTTTATGTTTTTTATATCTGTCTTTATGTGTTGTTCGCTATTCCTGTGTAATTGATTCCACATCATGATGTCATAAAAACATCTGAATAAAGTTGGATTACTGTTAATATAACTTGATTTATATAGCACTTTTAACACAGTTTAGAAAGTGCTTTGAGAGACAATCCTAATCAGGATACTAGACACAATTACAACCGAACAAAACAACAGAAAAATTACTTCAAATAGACATTTTAAGATTATAAGGAATAGAATATGACAACTATTTATTTTTTAAAATAACGTCACTCATTATGCAAGCTTATCTCCATAGACACCTGATCAGTAAGTAAGTAGGCGCCTTACTGTAAAAGCAATGCAAACGGACAATACTAAAACCCCCATCTACTTTGAATGGTACTGTAGAGCAATAAAACAGGTCTAGCTGCTGACAAGGGACCCGCCCCTCAACTACTGCAGTCAAGTGCCTTAAATGCCTGCATGTCTGGTATTCTGAAACTTATGTGTCATCACTTCTAGGGAAGCAATGAATCCCTCAGTGAGCTTGAAAAGCACAGAAAACCTGCTGTGAGTATTTGTATAAATAGCTTGTGGCAGACGGGTCAGAAAAGGCAGAATAACAATAGAGAGATTAGCAGGGCAAGATTCATCAAGTGTCTTTGTTGCTGAGTAATATCAAAATCGTTACTTTAAACTGGTTTACTTGGTGTATCGACTGTCAATTATCGGTGTGTGTGTGTGTGTGTGTGTGTGTGTGTGTGTGTGTGTGTGTGTGTGTGTGTGTGTGTGTGTGTGTGTGTTTACACAAGTTGAGTTTGGGTTGATGACGTTAGCTCAGGTGTTGAGTGAAGTAATTTGACAAGCAACCAAATATGTGTTCAAATCTGTGTTGAGTTCCTCTGTTTTTTACACCAGTGCTCTTATTGGTACCAAACATGTGAGCGATGCATTACTACACTGTGCACCATTGTTTTTAATACGATATACAGTACATCCCTGGTTCATCTGGGCGGGGTCATTCATCTTTTCACGATCTCCAGTCAACATGTAGGTTGAAAATGCCCTAGAATACATTTAAAATGTTACATAATGTGACTGGAGTACGATATGGCGCACACTGTTATGGTTGCAGACGAGATTTAGAGATACAGAAGAAGAACACGGCTGAGTCTCACTGTGCTCATCAGATCTGTCAATAGCTAGTGTGAGAGTAGCTTTAATAATCTAATATGTCACATACATTTGCATGTCATTTAAGAAAAATAAACAATTGTATTCATTGGTCTAAAATGCTGGCTCTTAAAGGAGTACTTCACCCTAGAAATTAACTTTTTTTATTCAATACATCATCATGTGTTACCTTGAATTCTAGAAGAGATCTTTGTAAACTGTGGATTTAAAAAATAAGTCTTGATGAAATTGTAAATCGTAATGGGCTGTCCTCCTTATACAGCGCTTCATCCAGTCTTTACGACCCTTCAAAGCACTTCACATTTACAAGTCATCATTCACAGTCTTTTCATACAGAGCAAGGTGCCAGTTGCTCAAGGAAGCTAACACTCACACACATTCAGATATTGTTGACCATGCCACCAGGAGCCACTCAGTTAAGTATCTTGCCAAAGGATACATCCACATGTGACTGAAGGGGCTGGGATCGAACCCACGACCTTCTGGTTGAAAGATGACCATCAGATTGTGTGTGAGAAGCTATACAAATGTTACCACTGTTATCACGTCTGTTAATACCTTTGCACGTCTTTTTGCAAAAACACATTATCCATTTGTTCTTAGTTCTTCACCCTAGAAATTACCTTTTTTTTCAATAACTGATCATGTCTTACCTTGAATTCTATATGAACTTTATGAAATGAGAATTAGGTAAAGCAAAGAAAAGTCTTGATGAACTGTGATCAAATAGTGGGCCATGTGTATTATAATCTCATTTTTGGACAATTTAACACATTTTAACAGGAAAGGCACTGGTGATGCTAAAATGCTGATAAACAAGTAAGACTGGACAGTGTGATAGTATTCACAAAAGTAAAACAATCGATTGGATTTCATCTAAATTTCGTTTTTTTGTTTCTATCTTACAGAAGGTTCCAGTTGATGGCACGTTAAATGAAAGAGGAGGTGATCGCTGCCATCTGTTGGTCATATCATTGCAACCCCACACTTGGTGCACTGGCTTCTTGCCTTTATTCCTTCTTTATAAAACAGAGCAGATTCTAAACCACTGTAAATTAAAAACAACACATTTCAGTTGTTTTTAGTTACAAAGATGACAGGACTGTTCCAAAATGGTAGGAATAAAGTTTTATTTTTCATATGAAGGGGTGGTTTTGGATTTTTCTTCTTTTACAAGTAGTATGTTTTTGATAAAACTTGCAAAAAATCTTCTAGCATATTCCAAGAAATGATGGACATGAAGAGAAAGGGGATTTATTGCTGAATGTTAAAATGAAGACACATTTTTTTTTTTTTCACCGAGTGGAAAAACGATTTGCTTGCTGCTTTTTCCATGCACCCAACTACCAGTACCACTAGGACATGCAGAGGGGTCGGGGGTGATAGGAGAGGGGTTTGGGGGGGGGGAGAGAGGAGGGAGGAGAGAGGGAGTCGGGAGGTAAAAAAGACAAAGGCAAACTTCTTGACAAACACAAACATGGTAAAGGCTTTGTGTGTGTGTCATATGAGTGTGTGTGTGTGTGTGTGTGTGTGTGTGTGTGTGTGTGTGTGTGTGTGTGTGTGTGTGCATGTGTGTGTGCATGTGTGTGTGTGTGTGTGTGTGTGTGCATGTGTGTGTGTGTGCATGTCTCAGTGTGTGCTTCATAATGTGTGTGAGCCGTGTCTGGTGTGTGGTATGTATGTGTGCATGTAAAGGGGGCAAAGAGGGGAGTGCAGGGGGAGGAGAAAGAGGGTGGGGGGGAGTGTTAACAATTCAACTAGCTCTAGAAGCACACTACCCTCACTTGCACTATTTCCACATTGCAAATCCCAGATTGATTACAGTGATAGTAAGACAAAACTAGCCAGAACTTTGGGTCGTGAACCCAAATAATGTTATTTTTTAAATATAAATGTCTAGCATGATTTCCCCTGAGGGGTTGGTCGCCATTTTTAAGATAATTTCATTATCTGTGATCCATGCATCTCCTGTGTGAAGAAAGAAAACAACAAAATAAATTGGAAATGAACTCTAATAGGGACACGTATTGTATCTGACAGTTTCACTATCCTTAGTGAGCTTGAAAGGATGTCTAAACCCGGAGGTGGAGATTCTGATGTCATCAGCCTACTGTTACTGTGCTGTTCAGCATGGGGCCTAAACTCATCTGCTAGTTGCTTCTGAAGGTCTGTAAGGCGGGTGAGAAAGACGTGGAGAGGCGAGTGGCGATGCGAGGTGGAGGGGGGACAGACAGAGACAGACAAATAACAGATCATTCAGTCAATATGACCAAGCAAAATAAGTTCAATCAATAAAAGATATAGGAATGCAAAATGCAGAAATCAGTATTATCATATACCACCGTTTGGCTGTGAGCTAAACAAAAAGTAAAATCGGTCTCAGAAAAAAACTCGCTCTCTACCCACTTTTTCCCGTCAGAGCAGTGCCGTCGCTATAGGGGGTGAAAGATGGAGGCGATTCCATGGCGCCCACAGCTAGAGAGAGCTCGAAAAGTAGTAGCTTTGTATCAGTAAAACAAAAAAAGGGGACCCAGAGCAATATCCTCCTCTCAAGGGGCCCATAATTCCTAGCTATGCCCCAACATAGTTAACAGATGAGTTCTCTGCATCTTTTTTCATCATCAGCAACACACATGCCCACTTACACACACACAAAGTAAAAAACTGAATCTCCCTTCTGATTCCAAGAGTTATTATTTTTTTTTAATCCTACGCTCCTTTAATCGTGGCCACGAGTGAACGCAACAAACCTGACGGACGGACGGACAGGAAGTAGAGTGAGGGGATGTGGATCTGGCCTGCGGACTGAACTGTGACTGGGATGGACGTGCGCTCTCTGCTTTGAGTCTCTTGGCGGTGATGTGATGGGGAAGTCCTGAGACACAGTGCGGCTCTAAGCTGCTGGCATAGGAAACGGGCGGGCTGGGCAGTCCATGGGAGGCCAGAGTCAGGCTAGATTACAACTGGATTGGTTAGGTTTGGATCGGCAGCTCCCTGGCCAATGGCTGCTCACGGAGGGAGGGTCTTACAGTGCAATGGAGCTTCTGGCAGCGTGAGGATTGGTGACAGGAGCAAACACTTTCCAAAGTGAGGCGTCAACCAAATTAGGCTTCATGTACATACAGGCACACAAACACACACGCACATCATCCACCACCAATGTCATGGCAGCACCCTGAACACCTACACAGGAATCTGAAATTACTTCCCCTCAACAACTTCCTAACACTCTTGTTTTCACAGAAATAACAACAAATGACTGACAGGCAGCGAACAAGAACATGAATGGCCGATGGGATTCATCCGAGAAAAAACTACCCTTCACTTCCGGTTGCGTCAGTGACTAATGTCCCTGTGGAACGAGCGCATCGCGTGGATCATACTCATGTAAACAGACACCTTTAACACAGGAGGAATCAATATTGCATGATGACATAATCAGATCACAGTTCAAAAAAGAGGAAGATCCCAAATCAGAGAAAAAACCAAAGCAAAAGGAAGAGGGTTGGTCTCTATAAAAAACGAGGAGTCTTTATAAGAAAGGCTACAAAAACTCAATGGGACCTCCGACTTCAGCATACAGCAAAAGGCACCACAATATTATTCTATTTATCTAACTTGTGAAAAAATTGGCACGTAATTCTCTTATTTTTTCATCTCTCATAATGCTGTAAATCAAAAAACTTTACATATAAATATTTCCCCCCGTTATAAAAAAAGTCTTTGCTGTTAGCTAGTAGACAATTTTTGCTGAAATGAAAATAAATATTTCATTTGTTTAGAATATCTGTCTGTTATACAAAATAAAAATATTTCTCCTAGGTGCAGGTCTCTAGTCCACTGGTTGTGTGTAGGAGGAGGGGGAGTGTGTGAGGTGGAGGGGTGGGTGGTGGCAGGGGGGGTTGAGTCTTAAAGGGGCATGTTGTCAGCCTTGGAGCGGTGCGACTGGGCGCCGCGGCTCTGCCCGTTGCTGCGCGTCCCCGGCCGACTCAGCCCGCGGTGAGTCCGTGTGTCCGCACCAGAGGACGAGCGGTAACCCGGCACGGTTAAGGGTGGGTCCATGTTCATGTTCTGCATACTAAGGAAAGGTGTGCTCTCCCCGTGAGTGTCCTCCTCCTCCTCTTCTTCCTCCTCCTCCTCTGACTGGCTGAAGCTCTGCGAGCTATAGTCCCGTAGGCCTGTGGAACGCTGCGAGATGTGTCCGTTGAGGCGGTTACGTCGCGGGCGGCGCCGGCTGCGGATGGGTTCTCGCGAAGAGGCGTACTCCTGCGTGGTCTCGTAGGCCTCCTCGTCAGGGAGTCGATAGGGGCTCGACGGTAGACTTCCTGTGCTCTCCGTCAGGTAAGGTCGCCTCGGACGCCGGGGCTGCCTGTATAAACTTCCATCCTGAAACAGAAAACAGATCAATTATAGAAACTGCTTAAGTTAAATATCTTCCTATCATCCTACTAACAAGCGGGTGGTGGAAGATAGTGTATAAATACTCTTAAACGTCCTGCATTCCACTACCTTACCTAAGAAGTATTATTAAATATTTTCCTCTGAGGTGAAGTAGAAGAATAAAGTTCCTTAAAATTGTACAGTACTAAAGTAAATGTACTTAATTTACATCAATACTAGCAAGTATCTAAAGCCTGACTGGTTTACTCCTCTGTGCCTATACGTACATCTGGGCATCGTAGCAGCGGCTGGTCGTCCTCTCTGTGGTAGGCTGCAGCGGCGGGGGGGAGCGAGAGGGCGTGGCCTGTGTTGGGCGAGGTGATCTGGAAGGTGGGCACCTGGGGCGGCAACGGGGGATAGTGGAACTCCACCGGAGACAGGCGTGCTGGCGTGGTCAGCGCCGACACATACCTGGACAGGAAAGATAAGAGAAAATTATTGCTGTGTCTAAGTCACATCTTGTTTTGCTACTGCTGTGACAAGGTCTACTCAAACTAGCAATTAGCCTATAGATAGACAAATAGATTAATGTGTGTTTTTTCTTACCTAATATTTTGGGTGTTTTAAGAATTAAGTCTCTTATTTTTTCTACTTTGCAATGATAGTAAGATAGACAGCTTTTTGAGGATATTCACAATTATCCTAATAAACGTGAATCCATGATAATATCCTTAATAGTCGCATCCCTAGGGTACACAATTCGGATATAGGATGCAGACACACTTTGTGGCATGGACTGATAGCAGCGGCCCGTCAGTATCAATCATTCTGTCAGAGAGTTTCATCCATCTGTTTTCTAAACCACTTCTCTTCTTCAGGGCCAGAGGGCAGGAGACTACCCAGCATGCACTGGGCAAGAGGAAGTTGTACACCCTGGACAGGTCACCAGTCATTCACAGTGCTAACACACATACACAGACAAACACCAACATATACATGCTATTAAGTGTTTCCAGTCCATCTGACCTGCAGGACTTTCCCCCCAGAAGAGATCCCAAATAATCCAACTCTAATACACGTTTTACACCAGATGATTTAGACTTATTAGGGCTGCAGTGCACAATATATTATTATTCAACACATTCTCACTCCCAACTCGGCCTATGTTGACGTTATGTCAGGGTCCCTGTCGTCACTTTCCAACGCAAGGGGGGCCCTTTAGCGTCGAGTTTCAACTATCAGGGAGTCCCATTGACTTGCATAGAGCTCCCTGAACGTTGGTAATAGACGAGTTGGGATCGCGGCGAAATGCTCTCCGCAGATCCATTCTCACAGCGTTTATCAACCTTTTTCTTACTCAATATCAAGCTAAACTTATTGTTTGTACTTCTTTATTTTAATTGAATAATGTAGGACTTTTGTTGCCGTCAGTTGATAAACGCTGTGAGAATGGATCTGCGGAGAGCATTTCGCCGTGATCCCAACTCGTCGATTACCAACGTTCAGGGAGCTCTAAGCAAGTCAATAGGACTTCCTGATAGTTGAAACTCGACGCTAAAGGGCCCCCCTTGCGTTGAAAAGTGACGACAGGGACCCTGACATAACGTCAACATAGGCCGAGTTGGGAGTGAGAATGTGTTGTATTATTTGACATTTCAATGTCAACTTGCTCCAACTATTACTTTTTAACAATAAACACATCACAAACAAGGTCATATTGCAGTTTGGGATTTTTTGCAGTTAGTTGAGATCCTCAATAAAAACTTTTTTTGATGAGTTCAATGTTTACATTTTTTGCTAGTGGAGCCTCGCAGCGTCAAAATTGTGGCGCGCTTACACAGGTGTTTAAGGGGGTGCGGGTGCTAGTGGAGCCTCGCAGATGGCGGTGCTGCAGCCCCCTCAGCATCCCCTCCTTCCCGCGTCCATTCGCGATGTCTCCCTGTCTCGCAGACCCCACACAACAAGCAGGAAATGAACCCAGCTCACACTGTCCGCTCCTCGCAGCAGTGAGCCACGCAACGTCCCACCAACACGGCACCCAGACCCCACGCAGCATTCTCATCTGTTTGTCATTACTGGTGTCATTTTCTGGTTGCTAACGCCATTGTAACACATAATCACTGATGTTCCGCTGTAACGGTGGTGGACTCATCAGAACAGAGTGGGCGAGCTGACCAATCAGAGCACAGTAGGCTCACAGGGAGGGGGGGCAGGAGCTCCAACAAGCGGTTTAGGACAGAGAGTGAATACACATACTATACAGAGATGCTATGAGAAAACAATGTGAGTTTGGAAAATTGCACAATATAAATCTATTCTAGTAGACCTCAACAATGGAATTATGATCAGTAGAAATGGCCACGACATGGGATCTTTAACACAGAGTTTATTTATGGTCAAAATAGATAGAATATATGTTTTCAATATTAATAAACTGTACTATTGTAAGTAGTGTGTCACATAAGCGTTACAATAATCGCATTATTTCAAAAATGAACTATAGATTTCACGTTCGTAATACACACATGATAATATTGTTTAAATAACCGAGCGCCTCTTAATTCATTGTATTTTTCCTTACCTTCACTACCTCAACACTCTTTTACGATCACAGTATACAGTTCAGTATCTGGGCGATGAAGTCCTTGACATTGAAATATTCATGACAACCACTGGGGGGCGCCAAAGAATAACAAGGCTAGTGTGAAAAATTCAATGTCAAGTGTTGAAGTCATGAACAAAGACTTAAAGACTTAAACTAGACACTCTCACAGGCACACATACACACATTCACGTTTCCATTCCTTCAGAGGACACCAAACTTTAACTGCTGCTTTTCCTCTTTCTTAGTTTGAACACTCTTTTTAAATGCCTTTTGGTATTTGTAGTCCCCTATCTTAACCTAAACTTAAACGGTATACATGTAAAACGTAATGATGTACATGGGGACTCACATGGTGTCCCCAAAAGAATGGTATGTCCCCACAATGTCAGTAATACAAACATACACTCACACATTAGCACCTTCCCTACCTGTCGCTGTGAGGCGAGTCTCTTAGAGAATCGTAGGAATCCCCGTACTGCATTCCTGGCCCGGACATATCCCCGCAGCCCCAGTGGGTGGCCCTCCTCGCCATGCATGCCGGGCTGCTGCACTTACTGGTTCCCACAGAGCTGGACAGCCCTCCTGACTGGCAGTCTGAGTTCATACTCTCTGTTCGCTCCATGCTCCACGTCTGCTCCTCGTGTCTGCAGGTGTGGGTGTTAGCAGAACAAGTTTAAAAGGTTACAACAGCAGTGAGGGAAAGTAGGATAAAGAGAAGGTAAATATACTATACTGCAAAACTGTTCAAATGCATTTTATATGGAAGAACCAGAAAGTGATGATTTTAATTACAAATATACATTACAGGGCTCTTATTACTGCTGATCCCATTGACAAACAATAGCCATCAGTTCAACTTAAATGATTGTAGTGGCGTTGCCTGGCCTATAGGCATTCAAGGCTGTAGCCATACAAAACAATTTTCTACGAACAGGAAAGTGAAAACACAGAGTTACGTTGGCCTATGCCATTACTGCAATACTAACTGACACAATGAGTTTTTGTTTTATTTTTGAAAAAATAAATGATAGGAGTTACTCAATGTGTAGCATTTGTCAAATTGGGAACAAAAATGAATATGAAGTTTTCCATAACTCAGAAAACTCACATCTGGAGTCTTTCACTTTCTCTTCAGGTGACAAAAAAGTGTTGTTTTGACTGTACTCTAGACCTGTACTCCAGTGGTTCCCAACCGGGGGTACAGGAACCCCTAGGGGTACTTGAGGGGATCGCAGGGGGTACGCAGGTGCCTGGTCGCCCGCAGGGTGCGTTCTAAAAATAGCGTGAGTCATCGCCAAATAAGTAAATTACTTTTGTCTTACATGAATACAGAAAATGTTTGTTTTCAAATATGACGGATACAAGTGACCCCGGCAGGGGGTCTTCTCCTAAAAAAAGACATTATTGGTTTCCTAAATAAGTAGTGTGTCTTAACATAATTTCTTTACCTGACAACAAGCGTAAATGTCAAGTTGAAATGCATTTGTATTAAATGTGAGTTATACAAGTGATTTTCATTTAGGAGCAGTTAAACACGATAACGAAGGGTTTAACAAAGAAATGTAGTCGAAATTATCACAAATGAGTGAGGGGGTACTTTTAGAATGGCTACCAGCTCAAGGGGTACAAGGGACACAAAAGGTTGGGATGCCCTAAACCAGTGGCGAACCGTGCCTATCACAACTGGACCTTCTGTAGACACACACACCCCCCGCCGCCGCCGCCCCCCCCGTCCGCGGAATTATAATGTCCGTCTTTTCACTGAATTGTTGTCTTGAAAAGGGTACTCACAACAATTCCGCAACAATTTCATCTTCACCTGTTGCACTTTTTATTTCAACGTTAAAAACAATAAAACGGCATGAATTGCTTCGTCGCATTAATCTAGAACAGGGGTGGCAAACTCATTTCAGTTAAGGGGCCACATACTGCCCACTTTGATCTAAAGTGGGCCGGACCAGTAAAATCATAGCATAATAACCCACAGGCCCTATAACGACAATATTTCTGTTTAAGTGCAAATAAGTAGGCTACAAGTACATTCGGAAAATGTCCACATGTAATGAGACGCAAAACGTTATGAACAAACTGACATTTATTAAGAAAAAACAAGTGCAATTTCAAGTGCTACACATATGTTCTTTACAACAGATCACAGTTTCCACCTGAACTGACTCACCACAAAATACAAATAAAAACGTGGGAGCTATTAAGTGAGGAGTTTGAGTTACCCCCCTTGCCTTGAAGATATAACATTTCTATATTTTAAAAAGAAGTTGGGCAGTGCCACATCAAATCAAACTATTGTTTGCCTAATGCAGCTGCTGATTGACATTATAATACACAATGTTCTATGACATAATAATATAACATGTTCAAATATTTCAGTAGGTTCTTATTTTCACGTCACTGATTAATTTGCTCCTGAAACTTGACATCTTTTAGCCCTCACAATGGCATCAATATCAGGCTTAAAATCCTGACTAGCAGCCAATTTAATGAGTTCATTCAGGCACTTGTGTGTGAGTCTTGAGCGCAGCTTTGTTTTAGTAATGTTCATTACAGAGAAAACCTGTTCACAAAGGTAGGTGGTCCCAAACATGCTCAAAACTTTTGCTGCCAGGGCTGTCAATTTGGGGTATCCTGGCAAAAGATACCGATAAAATGTGCCCAAGTCCGATGAGGCAAATTTGTCCTTTAAATCCTGATCACATTGTAAGTCGATTATCTCAAGTTGTATGTCGACGGGCAGATCCGCAGCCTTAACTGCAAATGGCGAGCGAAACACTGCAAACTCTGTCTCAAGCTCACCAAAGACCTGAAACCGCCGCTCAAACTCCCGCAGCAATTCCGTAATGTTGTCTTTGTACCGACTCATGTCAGCAGTAACTCCGGTCATATGCACATTTCTTAGATGAGGGAAATGAGCAGGGTCACCACTTGACAGCTGTGTCTCCCACAAAGCCAGCTTCAACTTAAATGCGCGTATGCTGTCATAATATTCTGTGACAACTTGTTTGCGACCTTGCATCGTTATATTCAGATTATTCAAGTGCTCTGAAATATCCACCATAAATGCAAGGTCCTGCAGCCATTCTGGGTTTTTTAATTCATGCACTGGCTTACCCTTTTTCTCCATGAACTGTCCAATTTCCTCGCGTAGATCAGAAAAACGCTTCAGCACGGCACCTCGGCTCAACCACCTTACTTCATATGGTAGGCTACAGGTGATGTCTTTATCACTGAGGAGGCTGTCGAACTGACGGTGATTCAGCCCTCTGGCTCGGATGAAATTAACAGTTTGGACAACCACTTTCATGACGTGATCCATTTTTAACGTCTTGCAACACAATGCCTCCTGGTGCAAAATACAGTGGAATGTCCAAAAACGATCTCCTCCATTTGCTGCTTGTACTTTCTCCCTGAATTTCGTGGCAACACCTGCTTTTTTCCCGATCATTGATGGTGCGCCGTCTGTAGCCAGACTGACAGCACGGGTCCAGTCCACTCCGACCCTGTCCAGTGCTTCAACGAGAGCGCTAAAAATGTCATCCGCTTTAGTGGTGTCTGTCATAGGAACCAACTCAAGGAACTCTTCGGTGACCGTCAAAGTCTCATCTACACCACGAATGAATATGGCCAGTTGAGCAACATCTGTAATGTCAGTGCTCTCATCGATTGCAACTGAAAATGCTACGAATGACTTGACTTTTATTTTTTTCTGGCTATCCAAATCTGCTGAAAGATCGGCAATCCTATCCTTCACTGTATTCCTCGTTAGACTAATGTTGGAAAAAGCCTGTCGCTTCTCAGGACACACGATTTCTGCAGCCTTCAGCATGCATGTTTTCACAAACTCACCCTCAGAGTATGGCTTTGAGGCTGATGCTATTTCGTTAGCAATGAGATAGCTGGCTTTCACGGCTGCGTCACTTATATCTCGGCTCCGGGTAAAAACGGCCTGTTGTTTCTTTAGACCTGATAGCAGGTCATTTATCTTTTCTTTTCTCCGTTGTCCTTGCAAGCAGTCGTATTTCTCTCCATGGTGAGTCTCATAATGGCGGCGAATATTATATTCTTTGGGCACAGCAACTTGCTGCGAACACACCAAGCATACAGGTTTTCCATTTACCTCTGTAAAAAAATAGGATGCGGTCCATTTTTCTTGGAAAACTCGGCACTCCGTGTCCACTTTTCTCTTTTTTGACAGAGACATTTGGGGATGAGAGTGTCAGAGGTTATTGACTGCAATCACTACTCTTACTCATCACTTTTTTTACAGTCTGGCTGCGCTCTCACTGGTACCGGTGCGGTAGTGCGCCCACTAGTGGAAGGATTCAAAATAGCAGTTTTTTTCCCCTCCTCTCATACAGTAGCCTACTTAGCAAAATCCTTCAGCTCCGTGGGCCAAGCTGGAATGCCTCCCGGGCCGGATCCGGCCCGCGGGCCGTATGTTTGCCACCCCTGATCTAGAAGATCCTCTGTCTCTCTCCAGTTAACTAGCGGGCCTTCTAGAGTACCCTGGAACCGAGGGAAACTCTGAAAGAATACGCCCATTGGCTACAAATCAATATATGATTGGTTGATCAAACTGTCAGTCCAAACGTACGCTCTCATTCAGTGCAACGGCCAGGGCATTCGATCAAGGATGTAGAATACCTTGGTTGAAGGATAACAAGATCTGATTGGTTGCTTTCTTTTCTAACACAAAACCACTGAAATGCGTAGTGCATGGTCCGAGAAGGACAAACAAATCAACGTAACACTGTAATATTACAGATCAACAACACAGATACGATTATCATTTATTCATTTTATATACATTTTATTTATATAATTAAATCGATTTTTTGTTTGTTTTATCTGAGTGTTCCAGGGTATTCTCTGAATACCTTGAAGGCCCTGACGGTTCGCCACTGCCCTAAACACATCGAATCAACTGCATAATAATTAGTTATTTCAATCAATATATGTGGTCAAATTCAACGCAGCTATTCAACAATGTTGCCATCGTTTTTAGAATCCTTAGCTGCCAGGCAGATGTCCAAAGCATTATTTTAAGATGAAATGCCTTACCCTGACCTCAGCCCCAGACTTTTTAACTCTAAGAAGAATTTCTGGATTGTAAACTATTTGTCCAGCATGATGTAGAGACAACACAAACTAAACAAGTTGCTGGTGACAACAGTCCGAGCATCTACAAGGCAAAGACAGACCTATGTTTTTTCAGGATTTGGCGGGCCAAAGGTGATACTGACAGACAATGTTAGACTCTTGTGTGAGTAAAAGGACATGTTAGCCTGACATATATATATATATATATATATATATATATATATCAGAGCTCACTGCATTGAGAGGTGATGTTTTGCCCTCTAGTGGTGACTCATTTTGTAATTCAGCTTTAAAAATATATATATTTCATACAATCTGCCAAGTACAGGTCTGTGATCCACAAAATGTTTCTCCTTTGAGTTCAGTATATTAGGGAATGTCCAAAGATTTAAAACGTCTGCAAGGAAGTCAGAGATGTTTAATTACAAAGTCTGTTTAAATGTCAAATGATGTGAAATTGGAATAAAACTGGAGGACTTCATACAGAAATCTCACTAAACCTTTTTAATTGAAAGAAGCTTTCAGATTGTATTGGTCTAAAAAGACTCAAATACATAGCTATTACATTTTTGTAGATTATTTTATAGCAGCGAAGTTGTGTGTGTATAGTAAAATATACTTACTTCTGTTCTCAAACTGTATTGTAACTGTATGGTTATCTGATGTTATGTTATAACATAAGGGAAGTACAATAAACATATTAGGGGAAACCAGGTTCAGGTTTTGAGAGAATAGTCCCAATAGATGAGGCTACCAGCTCAAGGGGTACAAGGGACACAAAAGGTTGGGATGCCCTAAACACATCGAATCAACTGCATAATAATTAGTTATTTCAATCAATATATGTGGTCAAATTCAACGCAGCTATTCAACAATGTTGCCATCGTTTTTAGAATCCTTAGCTGCCAGGCAGATGTCCAAAAACATAATTATTGATATTTTGCTCAATATTGTTTTTCCAGAAACAATTGTACTGTTACTCTGGATGATCCACATATCTAGCTTTAAAAGTGCTCAAAAACTGAATCGGGAGAGATAATCTCTATAAAAACGGGAAATAACTGAAACTATAGGAAGACAAATTGGGAAGAAATGCTTTCCAATCATTGCCTGTGTATATATGTCTGGATGTGTGTGTGTGGCAGGTCTACCTGGAAGCGTGTGAGGCAGTGGTTGAGTGGTGGGAGCGGGTTGACATTCTGCTGCCTGCGTAGTTTCCTGCACCCTCAGCTCCGTGGCTGATCACACACTCTGTCGTTGGGACGCTCTTGGAGATGTACTGCAATACGAACACACCAACATACACATACTGAATGAACTCATTTAAATACTTGTTACTTATGTTATCATTTCTCTGATTACCAACAAATCATACAGTTATTAATGTATACATTATTATAAAGTGATATATAAGGATAAGGGGATTCTCCTGCACAGATCTCATCATCACTTCTCTTTCATTGTTGGTGTTATGCTGACTCATGCACATGTCTTCAGGAGAATGGTAGGTGTTTTTCCACTCTCTTTACCGTCTGTCAGCTCCATATTGCCCTTCGTTTAGACTGGATCAGTATGTATATACACAAAGGCTCTTTTGAAGGCAAAACTGCTCTGGAGGCTAAAAGAAAAAGTTCTTGGTGAAGTTCAAATTTAAGCACCAAAGCTAAATAAAGTCTAGCAGTGACTTCATTAAACGACCAAGGCTCTGCATGCTCAGGTGAACCTGACATCCAGTTCTAATGTCTTCTTCTTCTTTTTCCTTCTTAAGCATTAATGAATATCTGAGGAGATTCTGGAAAACTTGACACCAAAATCCTATTTATAGGATGGGGAATTTAATTAAAAACACTGACATAACTGGATTGATTTCAGCAGCACTTTAATAAGAAAGGGAAGTCTGCCTGGAGATTACAAATGTGACTTCTATGTGTCCTGAATGGATAATTGTAAATGTATTGCTGGCTACCAGAAGCTAGAACAAAATCATAGGGGCCAAAGTGTCTTAGGTAACTGGATCCATCCAACTTTATCCTAACCAGCCTAACAAAAAATAATCATACACATACAGTGGAACAAAAAAGTATTTAGTCAGCCACCAATTGTGCAAGTTCTCCCACTTAAAAAGATGAGAGAGAACTGTAATTTTAATCCTAGGTATACCTCAACTATGAGAGACAAAATGAGAAAAAAAATCCAGAAAATCACATTTTTAAAGAATTTATTTGCAAATTATGGTGGAAAATAAGTATTTGGTCAATAACAAAAGTTCATCTCAATATTTTGTTATATACCCTTTGTTGGCAATGACAGAGGTCAAACGTTTTCTGTAAGTCTTCACAAGGTTTTCACACACTGTTGCTGGTATTTTGGCCCATTCCTCCATGCAGATCTCCTCTAGCAGTGATGTTTTGGGGCTGTCGCTGGGCAACACGGACTTTCAACTCCCTCCAAAGATTTTCTATGGGGTTGAGATCTGGAGACTGGCTAGGCCACTCCAGGACCTTGAAATGCTTCTTACGAAGCCACTCCTTCGTTGCCCGGGCGGTGTGTTTGGGATCATTGTCATGCTGAAAGACCCAGCCACGTTTCATCTTCAATGCCCTTGCGGATGGAAGGAGGTTGTCACTCAAAATCTCACGATACATGGCCCCATTCATTCTTTCCTTTACACGGATCAGTCGTCCTGGTCCCTTTGCAGAAAAACAGCCCCAAAGCATGATGTTTCCACCCCCATGTTTCACAGTAGGTATGGTGTTCTTTGGATGCAACTCAGCATTCTTTCTCCTCCAAACACGTCTAGTTGAGTTTTTACCAAAAAGTTATATTTTGGTTTCATCTGACCATATGACATTCTCCCAATCCTCTTCTGGATCATCTAAATGCTCTCTAGCAAACTTCAGACGGGCCTGGACATGTACTGGCTTAAGCAGGGGGACACGTCTGGCACTGCAGGATGGTAGCCTTTGTTACTTTGGTCCCAGCTCTCTGCAGGTCATTGACTAGGTCCCCCCGTGTGGTTCTGGGATTTTTGCTCACCGTTCTTGTGATAATTTTGACCCCACGTGGTGAGATCTTGCGTGGAGCCCCAGATCGAGGGAGATTATCAGTGGTCTTGTATGTCTTCCATTTTCTAATAATTGCTCCCACAGTTGATTTCTTCACACCAAGCTGCTTACCTATTGCAGATTCAGTCTTCCCAGCCTGGTGCAGGTCTACAATTTTGTTTCTGGTGTCCTTTGACAGCTCTTTGGTCTTGGCCATAGTGGAGTTTGGAGTGTGACTGTTTGAGGTTGTGGACAGGTGTCTTTTATACTGATAACGAGTTCAAACAGGTTCCATTAATACAGTTAACGAGCGGAGGACAGAGGAGGCTCTTAAAGAAGAAGTTACAGGTCTGTGAGAGCCAGAAATCTTGTTTGTTTGTAGGTGACCAAATACTTATTTTACCGAGGAATTTAGCAATTAATTCATTAAAAATCCTACAATGTGATTTCCTGGATTCTTTCCCCCCATTTTGTTTCTCATAGTTGAAGTGTACCTAGGATGAAAATTACAGGCCTCTCATCTTTTTAAGTGGGAGAACTTGCACAATTGGTGGCTGACTAAATACTTTTTTGCCCCACTGTATATAAATAAGTACATAATAACAATATATATACACAAACAGTTCCCAAATTGTGATCAATAAGGTACAATCTTATCTTATCGTATCTATATCCCTCTTTCCAATCAGTGCTTATGCCATTCAAGCTTGTGTTGGTAACTTTTGTTTGTGCCTTGAGAGCAGCTCTGCCTCTGAAAACATGTAGACCCTGTGGACTGCTCAGCATGAAGTGCAAGTGGTCAAAACGGGACTTTACTTCCTGTGATTTAAACCTTAGCATCACTTCTCCTGTACCTGATTCTGGTGTGTATTTCTACAGTTTTGACTCACGTCGACCATGGGGATCTCCTCGGGGCCGGGGCCGGGCCCGGGGTGGTTGGGCCCGTTGGCCAGCATGCGGTTGGGCTGCTCCACACACTGGTTCTGGTTCTGGTGTAGGTGACTGTGCATCTTCTTTCTCTGCTTTCTGGAGGAGTGGTGATGAGGGAACAATAAGTCATCTGGCTAATGTCTAAACTGATTGATCACTATAATTGCTCTTTAAAAATCACGCTCACGCTCTTTACTTATTAGATAATCGTTTAATAGTTAAGGCAATATTATCAAGGTTAGGCAGCCCTGTCACAATTGAACAGGATTGGTGGACCAGAAATAGTTGGTATTATGCCAAATGTTTCAGATGTCAGTGAATTGTTAACAGTTCAATTAAGGAGTGTTTTCTCATCTTAACATCTCAGGTGCTTTCAGTTAAATAACAACATCCAGAGGAGTCAAATTAGCCAATGTTTCACAAAATAGCAAAGATCAAGGAAAATCCCAAAAATAAATATAAATAAATAATAAATAATAGGTTTTATGAAATACCTCCATTTTGCCCTGCTGCAACAGTGAATTAACTTGCACAGCAATGAATCGGTAACCATCTAATAATGCACCCTATTGTAACATTTGAATCACAGGAGACCATTTCTGAACACCAGCTTCTTAAATCCTTCTTAGAAAATTGTAGCCGCTCTGTGTGGTTAAATAGCGAGTCATTTATGTTCCTTTCAACGATACATACTTGGTTTTGCAGTAGGCCACCACACAAACGATGCCAACCACCAGCAGCGCCACACAGATGCCTGTGATCGTCAGCACCCGCCTCTGGTAGAGCTCCTCCGCCTCTGTGGATTGAAACACACACACACACACACACACACACACACACACACACACACACACACACACACACACACGCACACACACACACACACACACACACACACACACACACACACACACACACACACATATTCACACACACATCCATCCATGGCAGACAGACAATCACAAAACAGACAGACAGACACACAAACAGCATGAGCGCTACTCCATTGATGGTGACTACAGAAACATTTTTCTAACAATTAGCTGCTGCCACCCTATCCCCTGTGCTGACTGTAAAACTACTCGTGCTCTAACAAGACACATGCCTTTCAATTTAAACTGTACTACAGTCAAACAGTGCTACTACACAGGAGTAATTCTCAAAGCTCATAAATGTTATGATGAAAAGCAGAGCTACATCCTGAAATAGCCTTCCTGCTGTCCCTGTACACATGTATTTACACGGACATGAGATGTAATGCTACAGATGGCATTGGATGGGATCTGAATGCATGCCTGTATGGATGAAATCCTCAAAAGATAAGTTGTCCAGATGAAAACAAATTAAATAAGCATATTTTGTTCAAAGTGTTGACACCACAATGGGCTGAGAGCATAAAGGTTAAGTATTCAAAACGCTCACCACCACTATAAAGGTCACAAAAAGTGACAAAAAAATGGGAAATATGACACTTCTTTAATATTAATTAATTATTTGATCATTTGTATTTTCCTTTGTTTCTGGGTTCGGTTTTTGTTTCAAGTTTGAATATTCACAGAGGTTTTTACATGACACTGTGGTGGTCAAAATGCAGCCTGGTCTTTTAAAACATATATTCCCGAAACAACTAAACTGCATTGTCTAACCGGTTTTGAGGTAAAAGTATTTTTTACCTACGAGGTTAATCTTTTACTTTGTTATCCTTGCTAATTTGACTAGAGAAAGGCATTTATAGCAAATTAAGTTTTGCTTGAAAAACAGCTGGAACAATTAAACCATGGTATTATGGCATTCATTTCTTTATGATGTGCCAATTTGTCATTAAATGTATTACATGTTATATTTTAGCACAATTTGTCTTTCACCTAAATTAGAAAACACATCCAAGGTACCATAAAAGACAATTAATTTTTCCCTTGGTCATCTATTGAATTGACCTAAAACCGTACAAAATAAATAATATGAAAAATTCTACATTCACGATTTGCTCATCACTTTTGAGGATAGAACTGGTTACAACACTTTTATGTTAAGTGAGAACTTTCCTTTGGGAACATCTTAAGACAGATTTGGATCATGTTACACTAAACTACATTAAACTCTAATAATTCAACATATTGGTTTATCTAGGTTAATTCACATTTTTGGGCCCGCTGTGGTGTAACACTGTGTCTGAAGCGCGACGTCACAATGACAGGGAGCAACAAACAGAACAGAACATGAGGGAATAAAAGGAGAAAAGGCTAAGTGGAGAGGAAGGAGGAGCAGGAGGAAACGAGTAGACAGAGGGAGAGGAGGGGGAGGAGGGGCGTGTCCGGGAGAAAGGCCCGGGGAGAAACTAGTCCCCAGAAACCAGACTGTCCTGACTTTGTCCTGTTATCAGCTAAAACTAGATTAAAAAATGCCCTTGGATTGTTAGTTACGGCTGAATTAAAGTCACAGAAGACCACTGTTTCTCAATGTCATGGACCCACTGTTATGCAAATGTATTAGTTTGAATGTTTCTTATTACTTTGGACTGAAACTGAAGCTGTCTGCTGTGATACCTACAGTATACGCTGAAGACTATCTGTTTATTTACCTACCAGTGGTTTATATGATATAAAGTTGATATAAAGTATGGTCAAATTCATCAGAATGTGTTGATTGATTGTATTTACTAAAATTAATTTACTAAAAGGCAGATTAATTAAACTGTTATGACCTAATCACCTAACCTTCATCTGTCTCCCCTACAGACACGCCACTGAGGAAGAAGGAAGGGGGTTGAAGGAGGGGGGGGGTTCTAAGTAAAGGGCCTCTGTAGGGATTGACAAGCCCATGAGAGGCCTGGCATTGTGTGTGTGTCACAGGGTACTGATACAGAAAAGCGAAAGGGGAAATGGAAAGGCGCTCTCGCTGGCACAGTGGAGCCAACAGCGATGGTGATTTAGGACAGGCGAGCTCTCCACTCTGACATGGAGTCAATCAAGGGCAAAATAATAAGGACGGACTATGCTCAGGCCTTTGGCTCGCTTTTGGCAACACTTTGCAGAAATACTTGCAGCTTGCATGTTTTTATTCGACAGGCTGCTGAAGCCAATATGCACATTGCCAAAGCCCGGGGGACAAGCCAGAGACTTGTAGGTATCGATGAGGCGAAACGCTCTCTGATTGTTGGGGAAAGAAGGTGTTTTTGGCTCCGATACAGTGTCCAATGTAACTTTGATTCATATCAGACCTGTAACATCGTGTTCTAATTCACCTCTGCACTATCTTTCATTTCCATTTCCTTCCTAGTTATTTTATGTCTTTTTTAATGCTTAATGTCAGTAAGGGGGATGCATGCAGAGAAGGGAGGTCACGTGTTAAAGCAGGTTAGTGGGCAGGAGAAAGAGGGACAGGTTGAGGGAGACCTAGTTGTTTTAGAAAAAAGATGGTACAATAATGTGTGACTGTGAGAGGATCTTGGCAAAGCTTTTAAGCACAGCAAAATGAATAATAATGTTCCATACCCATAAATTCAATTCTGAGAAGCTCTGCCAGCGCAGAAAGTTGTCGTGGTAAAAGGAAAGAGACAGATAGGGTCAGGTGTAATGTCCACTTTGGAGCAGATAAATCGTTTTCATGTCTTGTATACACTGAACCAGGATATAAGTTAATTAGTGCCGTCAATCATAGTGATTGACGTGTGTACCGTCCAGTAACAGACAGACAACTCAGACAGCCTCAGCTCTGTGACCCCCAGAAATTATCAACTGAAACGAAACGAAATCAAAAGCGAAGGGAGAAAAATGAACCCAAGGCAGAAGGAAAGAGAAGCCAACGGGCGGGAAAAGGCATGCGGAGACAGACGGACAAAGACAGCAAGACAAGAAGCCACATCACTTACTGCTATATTTACTAGACCTCATTTCTGGAGTACAGGACAACAGACAGAAACAAAATTATAATAGAAAAAACAACAAGATAAAAGAAAGAAAAGACCAAAAGCAGTGAGTTACTCTCCAACATAAAAACACAGTACAGTCGATGAGGCTGGCACAGCGAATGGGGGCGTTTGACTAATGGCAATTGTGCGCCTTTGTATTGATCTACCTCTTGTGTAGCACTTTGTCCCACTACTGCTGCGTACAGCTATTATAACCTTTCATATGATTTACGGAGAAATCGTCTCGGCATTCCCAATTTCCATTACTTTGCATGCATTACCGGCAGTAAAGAGAAATGCCCATACACATTATCTTCTGTCCACCCTGACCTTAAGTACTCTACACTTTGACAGGGTCCTATGTTCGTAGCACTATAAAAAAGCAGGCAGTAACAAATCAACATGGATTTGAAACGAGAGGGAAATGTTGCTTCGACTGACAGAGAGAGCGTCAAAAAGCAAAATAAAAGCACACAGATTTCAGCGGGTAGACGAGGCTTGATGGTGGGGTCAGAAATAAGCAGACGTCACATATAGTATGATATTTCCTGATGTAAAACAGTTACCATAGAAGCATTGCACATTGCTAATTTTGAACTGATTGTCCCAATTTAGGCTAAATGCCTAACTGCCCATACAATCGAAACCGAGTGACGAAACCAACAACCATTGGTAACCATTTTGTGTTATAGACACGAAATTGATTTCCCCATTTTTTTCGTGTCACACAGAACGATTTTAAAAGCAATGTAAATAATAACAAATTAGGAAAAAGAGATTTTTAAAAATATAGATTTCAGTATTCTGACACAGAACGATTTTAGAAGCAATGTATTTATATTGGTAGTATGTTTCGTGCCTGCACCAAATAATAACAAATTAAATAAATAAATACAGATTTCAGTATTCTGAGGCTCTGAGCTCCATTTATTTTCCTCACGGACGGCAAAAAAACTCCGACATTATACTATTTAAAATAAAAGGGTTAGGGTTAGGGTAAGATATTGAGTAAGAAAATGTTTTTATGAACCCCACAACTTCCGGTCTTCCAAGACCCGACTGGACAAAAAGACGTGGTGCAGGCACAAAACATACTACCAATAGAAATACATTGCTTTTAAAATCGTTCTGTGAGACACGAAAAAAATGCGAAAATCGTGTTATGGAACACGAATCAATAGATCAAATTAATTGTGTGACTATAACACGAAATGCTGTGGTTGACGAAACATGCCTAGGATACAAAGCATTAGTTTGAAATGTATGGAATACGTGTTCACTTGCTTTCTTGCTGAGAGTTATATGAGAAAAGTAATACCACTCTCATGTCTGTACGGTAAATATGAAGCTGGGGCCAGGAAACTGTTACCATTAGCGTTAACATTAGCGTTAGCATTAGCATATTAGCTCTGAAGACTGGAAGCAGGGGGACACTATTAGGCTGGCTCTGTCCTTAGTTACAAAGGAAAACGCTTTCAGTACCAATGGTTTCCAAGTAAGATAAGGCAATCGATAATACTGTATGTCAATACTTCTAGCCAAAATATGGTTTAGCGCAAAGCTTCCTGGAAAACAAGTTTTTACACGTTAGCTTTCAATTTAGTTATACAAACATAATGTGTAAGTCAATGAGCTTCAGAGGTGCTTTTTGGTGGATTCTGTTACCATCGGACAGAGCCATGCTAACCCTTTCCCTCTATTTTAAGTCTTTGTGCTAAGCTAAGCTAAATGTTTTCTGGGTGTACTTTCACACACAAGAGGGGGCACTTTCTGTAATGCCCATGTATATACTGCACACTTAACATATGTATAATGTGTTTAATCTGCCTATAGCTCTGTATAATTAGAACTTTAAGCACATAAATAATCATAATGCTTTATTAAAATCATCATTTTACAATGGCTTATAAGGTTAAGTATCATAATACTTAATAATTGCTGGTCACTCACTGACATTTTAGATTCAATGATTTTTTTCCCAATTACTTTAAGCACTCAATGACCAACTATAATGACCAGCTTGTGATGTATTATACTGAATGTGGCGGTACCTCAGGAATTGTATTACTTAAAGCACCCAATGACCACCAAGATTATGATGAATTACAATTAGTTGTATTTCACTATAATCCTTTTAATGTCAGATCACTTTGACTTGACCATTTATGTCATTATTAAATGCTTTCTAATGGGTTATGACTAGTTTTATAAATCATTAGGAATTTTTTTACGCATTAAATAAATATTTATCAACTTAATTCCTTTATGATGCATTGCAGACATGAGCATCATAGATAGTGTTATCCACTAACAAAGAGTTTTTTTTTTTTTAAATGCCAAACTATGATTTCTATTTGGTTTCACTGTTATGAGAAGCAAAACCACCATTATGAACATATTAGAGCTTAACCCTGAAACATTTCAAGCAGCATTTTTGTTAGCCACATGCTACAAAGTCAGATTTTATCAGATGATCCATGGATGCTCCGAGTGAAAACAACATTTAATGTTGTGGATTTTATTCTAATTTCTTAGTACAGTAATGTTTACAACTTTGATTATATTAACATTTGAAATGGTGGATGTGTTTGGATTTCTAGTAATGACTGTTTAAAACAATGTCAGATAAACATTGAATGTGAAGCCTCGATTGTCTGTCTTGCTAAGTAAAATCAAAGAAATATTTATAACTTTGTATAAAAGAGAGGCACAGCAAAGAGTGAGAACTCTCACCCTTGTACAATAATATATATTAACATCAATTAGCAATCAACGTTTTTGTCAACCTATACAGCACCAATGGACCATCTGCAGAGAAAAATTAACAAATGAAAGAAAAACAACTCCTCTTGTATTTATATTATGTTCATTCTCTGTCTCCTCTGTTTCCTTATGTGCATTTCTATGGATCAAGTATTTTGTGTGCAATTTACAGCAAAAAAATACAGAACTTTAAATGTAAATATGTGGTGCTTTTTGTTGAGTTGTCAATTCTGGGGTTATTTTAACCAGCTTTCTAGGGCAATCATCCAGAATGAAATGTGCTCCATGTAAGGTTAGAGCAGTGTGAAACTGAACTTATGTGTGAATTATAAAAAATAACTCTTGTTTGTTTCTGGTGGCCAGAGGAACCAGGGGAGACAGGAAGAGGAAGGGGCGGACTCTCTCTCTCTTCTCTCTCTCCCTCTCTCTCCTCTCCCTCTCTCTCTCTCTCTCTCTCTCTCTCTCTCTCTCTCTCTCCTCCCTCTCTCTCTCTCCCTTCTCCTCTCGATCAATCTACTCATCTCATCGCCCTCGTCTCAACTTCACCGCATCTCCTCTCCTCGGTCTCTCGGGTCGTCTCTCTCTCTCTCTCTCTCTCTCTCACTCACACACACACACACACACACATATACAGTCAGAGTGCTCCCTTCATCCAACCCCTCCGATGTAGCATGCAGCATCTCAGTGAGAAGGAGACAGACAAGAGCAAATGGACATACTGTAGAAACCGGCCATGACGGAGTTTTGACAGCGGTCCCCCGTATAGTCATTGGGACACCTGATGGAGGGAAAACAAGACACAGAGGGGGAGAGGGAGGCGGGGAGGGGTTAGATATACAGAGGGAAGATAAAACAGGAGGAAAGAAAGGGGGAGAAGTACACACAGACAGGAAGAAGGGAGGGGGAGGGGAGAGGGAGGGAGACATTAGAAAGCAGAGAGATGAGGGATTAGAAACAGCACAATCCACCAACTACAGAGAGAGATGACCTGCATACCGTGACATCACCGCCATCAATATGACATCACCGCTACAGTTAACACATCATCACAGTCATGAGGGTCATGTGATGGTGGGGCAGGAAGTATACGAGGGATCAAACGTACAGTCGTTAACCTCACACAAAAATAACTGCTAAGAAAGCTTCATTCTGAATGTTATTTGTATGATGATTAAGCTGCAACCTATTCCAATCTCTTATAATTTAATATGTTCATATTCATTTACAATAAAACATTAATATCAGTCTGTGTCTTCTTCTGGTTATCAGTGTATTTTCAATGCTATGAATTATAATTATAATATCATATAAAAGCTATGTTACATCAACAGCTACAAAAAGCAACTCAAAAAAGATTACATCATATGGAAAGTTGTATATTTAATTTAATGCAATAGAATTCCATTACTTTTCAAAAAGGCTTTTACTAATTTCACCCGTATAGGCATGGAATATGGAAATTGGAAAGTCCCTCACTCTAAATGTGAGTCGAGTGGAAGATCGTTACAGTAAGAAGATCATTGGCTAACATGTCAGCCAGGATATGATAAGCACCATGCAAAGATCAAGGCCTTCATAATAATGGACTATGCACAGAAAACAGTGTGTAGCATAAGCACATTCAAAACAACAGGTGCTGGATCAGAAACAAACTGAAAGCAAAATCAAACAAGCATTGGGGTTCAAACTCCCAGTCTCCCACTGTGGATATTGGATATGTCATCCACAAAAAAGCAGTAACAAAAAAGTATCTGCACACTGAATTGATTTCCACGCAATTTGATTTAATAGAGTGACGTGTCGATTTGACAAAGACCTCGTCAGAAAGACTAGCCGTCTCAAAGTACAAAAAGTAATATGTAGTATATGTACAATACATATTAACACATTATTCAGTCGGTTTTTGTGATTGTGAGAGAAACTACTCTCAAACTGGACCAATCAGAGCAGAGCTTGACAGCACTGTCTGATTAACCTATTTAGGGGACAAAGCATTTGTGAATGTTGATCAGAGCAGCTTCAAAGCAGCTTTACATTTTTGACAAGAGTAATGTACAAATCAATGATCTCATTAACATACATAATATGGAATTAGGAATACTCACTTCCTGGATATGTTCAACCATGCTTATGACCAGGGATGGGACAGTTGCTTTAAAGGGGCCTTTTATGCTCATTTTCAGGTTCAAAAGTGTACGAGTGTATGAATTAGCTGTCCGGCTCTGTTGTGATTGGTTAACCACTTAGAGATGTCTTGCTCTTTAGCCTAACTGGTATAATATGTTGTAGCCCTATCCAATATAAGCAGGAGGAACTTTGGGATTTTTGCCTTTGCAGCCCATTTACATGCACACAAACCTATATAACACACCACAGTAAAGGGAAAGCCCCCAAAAGATAATAACCCCTTCAAAAATTGCTGGGATGCCTCTCCAAAAAATAACATCTTGATGAACTGGAAAGTGCGCAAACCCTCAACTTACTGCTGTTTCACTTTTCTGCTTATCATACCAGAGAAGTGTCTAGCACCGAAAGCATTTGCTTTTAATAATGTAGGCAGCCGGTGTGAGACTCGGGTCAAGAAATGCAGCGTTGTGTGGGTATAATGCACGCCAGTAAATTGTTAGTAATTGAAAACATTTTTAAATTGTATTTCTGATAATAAAACTGATTTTTACGAAATTGTTTTGATTCAATTAAATTAAATCAGAATCAGGTCACACATTACAATTAGTATGAAGTTATAGCTGTGGTTAGAACTCGTGCCAAAACATACTAGTAAAAATGTTGATTAATGTTCCGTGCAGCAATCAGCGTATTTTGAGGTCAAGGTTTAATAAAGCTCGGGTAAGAAATCAAAGCAGTGTTTAATCATGCACATGCAGTGGTCAAGCTGTGAGGGAAAAATGAAAACAACATTCTTGCTTTGACTCACCGCACTTGTCATGACAAAAATCCTGAGATGAACCCTGTAAACTAAGCCTTATAGAAAGAATGACCTTCTGACAAATTGTGTAAAGATTTGAGAAATGTAACAATTTTCACAAGGATAGAAGTATCGGACCGACACACACACAAACACACAGGGCCCTCCACAGTGTGTGAGCATGAAAATGGTTGGAATAGGTTTTGGTATTTCTCGAGCATAAATAGCAGCAACAGTTTACATGCAGCTGCAGAATGTGCTGTTTTGTTTCTGGATGGGTGGCGAGCTGTCAGCGATACCACGGCCTGAATATGATTCATATTCAGGCAACAGCCATCAAACTGAAATGTTGAAACTAACAAGTAGGCTCTAAGCTGCGTCATAATTCATACAAAGTCCAATATATTGTGTTATTATGCTGACAGCTATTATTTTCTGTTAAATCTTATCAGATCTTTAACCCTTAAATGGGCAATCACAATATTTAGGAACATTTATTGATCTCTATCTTCTACATTACCCCCTTATGACAATGTTATTACAACTATAATTATTACACTTGTTACACCCATGATAGCCTACATCATTATAATACCCATATTATACCCATGATAAACTGTTATTACACCTTTATTACACTGTTATTACACCCATATTACACCCATGCAACACCAATATTAAACATAGTCCTCCAACTCATACGACCAAATAGGTAGATTGTTCAAGCGCTTATTAGGACCTATGATCACGTTTTCGACCTCTAGTGCTCCTGTTGACTGCAAACGCTCCGGAGGGTCGTATATTCACAAATAACCCTCTCTGGAAAATCCTAAATTGTAGGATAGTTTGGCCATTAAAATGCTTTTTGATTAGATTTCTAGTGAGAAGTGTATATTGTACTTTCAGAATCCACGTTCAGTGGATGTGTAGGATCTATAGTTTGATAGATATTACGAAGATGATTTGAGGTCTCGCCAGGAGAACGTGTAACGGCAGCGTCCCTGTAAAGTTAGCGTCAACCCTCACAGGGTGAACACAGTATTTCCGGTCTCTAACCGTATTCCCCTCACTGTCAAATGATTTTAAAATGGTATCTGCAGTACTCATCCACTAAAAAACATCAGTTTATCCTTGTTAATTACACAACATTCATTGGTTTAAATTGTGTACACTGCTTTTATGTTTTTCCCATAGAATTTTCCCTTTCGATTCTGAGAGACACATTTATTTTTTCAGAGGTTTTGATAGGCTAAAACATCGAACTACCCATAATCCTCAGCTACCGTTCAAGCTTGGTGATTGGATGTTTTAGCCGCAATGCACGTTGGGATATGGTGTTTATGCGATATGAAATCCGAAAACATTTTTTTTTTTAAATAATACTTTATTCCGAGTGTGCTTGCTTTTCTCTTTGAAAGTCATCACATAACGGCATTGTAATACACGGTTCGGCTGCATTAAATATTACACATCTGCCGTAGTTCTTTATTTATAGAGCCCTGATCAGAAGACCTTTGGACAAACTGGAAGAACTGCCACGGAAACTGAATACGTGACGTGGATCATAAATATATCAGCAATTAAACATTGTATTTACACCATAACGGTGCAGAGCTGATAAAAAAGGACTTGTAGTTTTTAAAGATATTACTGATTTTCTTTGAATATAAGAATGTAAATACTGAGTTGAGAGAATAGTCAGGGGTTTTGAGTGATGGGAGACACATCTATGGATTCAGAATTTCAATAGCTTACCATTAAATGACGGATATACCTTTCTGTCTGTGATGTTTTACAAATCAGATATGAATGTGTATACACATTCATATCTGATATATTACATTATATATACATTATATCAGCTATAATATTTGTGAAATATTATAGCAATATCCTGTACAATGATGTTAAAACATGAATAAAACGACACATCTTCAGATGTTATACATACATAAGTGTCCTACACTAATAATACAAAGTTATTATGGCATTGTATGCTATGTGTTATTTGTAACATCTTCAGAAACTACCTTTCTAACTCCTCATGCAGTTGACTGTTACAGGTCTATACAGGTTCATGGTACAATGCATAAGCTTCAAATCGAGAGACTGAAACTGTATTTTTCTATACCGTTCTGGTTTAATTTCACAATAAAGTTAATAGTAATTATTATGTTCTGGGCTGGACCCGTTCGAGTCCAGTTTTGGATAGTCTGCCGTGGTTACATTCCATTTCAAAGAGCTGTTTGACGCTCAGCGTAACCTTGTCGCACTGCCACTCCAACATCCAATCACAGAGCTTGAGGACTAATCAGGGGGTTTGTAAAGCACAGTGGATGTTGTAGTCCCAAACTATAGCTGAGGATTCTGGGTAGTGTAGTGTCTTCGGAAACTCTGGAGTGTCTAAACTCAGAAAAAACTATTTGTTTCTCCAAATCGAAGGTTAAAAACACAAAAGCATTGTACACTATTTAAACCAATCAATATTGTGTAATTCACAAGGATAAACTGATGTTTTTTAGTGGATGAGTAATGCAGATATCACTGTGTGTAATCATTTGACAGTGAGGGGAATATATCCGGTTTTATTATGAAAGCTTAGAGACTGGAAATACTGTTTTCACCCTGTGAGGGTTGACGCTAACTTTACATGGACGCTGCGGAAAGACGTAGTATACACGTTCTCCTGGCCAGACCTCAAATCATCTTCGTAATATATATCAAACTATAGATCCTACACATCCACTGGACGTAGATTCTAAAAGTACAATATACACTTCTCGCTAGAAATCTAATCAAAAAGCATTTTAATGGCCAAACTATTCCACAATATAGGATTTTCCAGAGAGGGT